GATGCTCTTTCTCACTCTCTCTCAGGGACATTCTCTCTCTCTCCCTCTCTCTCGGTGGTGGGGGCTAGGGGTGGGTCTCATTCTTTAAAGTACATGAGTTTAATTTGGTGTATATCTGAATCTGATGTGAGGTCTTGTGTTGGTTGGATGGATTGACTGGGGGGGTGTTGTGTGTGACAGAGAATTCACCGTGGCTGGCTCCAGAGGCTCTGAACAATGAGTTCAGTGTGAAGAGTGACCTGTGGGCTTTGGGTTGCATCCTGCTGGACATGATGACGTGTGGCATGATGCAGGTATGTTCCTTGCCTTCCTCTACATGACCCCCATTCACAGGGCAGGGTCTGCTCACTGGGCAATTCTGAGCCCGAAACTGGACAGGACGGTGTCACTGACCTGGGAATGTGAATGGACAGCGTAGAGGGAGCTTTACTCTGTATCTGAGTTGGTGTGTATCTAACCTGTGCTTTCACTGGACTGGGAGTGTGGACGGACAATGTGGAGGGAGCTTTACCTTAAGTGCTCTGGGACGTTACCCTGTGTGAGGGGCTCTATATAAATACAAGTTGTTGTTGTTGTACTTTGTCTCTAACCCGGGCTGTCACTGACCTGGGAGTGTGGACAGACTGTGTAGAGGACGCTTCACTCTGTCTCTAATCCGTGCTGTCACTCATACGTCTCCTCTCCTCTCTGATCCAGACAACAGAGCTGCTGGAGCTACTAAAGTTTATCCGTGAGGACCCGATGGAGCTGCAAGCTATCGTCAAAGTGTTGCACAAGAAGGAGCTGTACACCATCAGCCTATGTGAGGTGCTGCAGATGTTACTGCAAATCGATCCTAAGAACAGAACCACGGCAATGTGAGTGTGCAACACGTAGCCCCAGAGGGGGAAATAGAATAACAAACTCAACAACAAAACAACAACTTGCACTTATATAGTGCCCTTCAGGGGGAGAGGGCACAATCTGTCCCTCCTATACAGTCATGACTGCTCCTCACCTTCGGGCAGCAAGTGAGTGTAATAAATAGAATAATAATAATCTTTGTATTTGATATAGCTCCTTATCACGTCATTGAGACGTCTCAAAGCGCCTCACAGAATGTACTGTAAAGTGAAATGACTGTATATTTTGTGGGTGAATGGGTGAAAGTGTAGAAGCTGAGCTGAGTGGAATGGGGAATGGCCATTCCCAGGGCACTGAATGACCTGTTCTTTCAGAGAGATGATAAGCCGAATGACCTTCTTGTTGTGCTGCGTCTCTGGGTGTCTGTGCCGTTCTCTGTGGTCAGTTCCAAAGCCGGTGGCTCCCTGTTCATTGGAGTAGAAGATAGGAAACTGACCAACTCCTTCCAGGTCTCCCCCCTGCGCTTCAGAGGGAATCAGTCGCTTAGGAGTTGCAATTGATGGTGACTTTAAGATTCCCGGACAGTAATGCTTGAGCCTCACCAAATGGGCCAGCTCCTTGACACCAGCCTCCGTTAGGCAAAGGAGCTTGAGCCATCCAGCTTGAGTCCAAACTCCTGACTGTCAGCGCCTTGGGACGTCCTCCCGACATGAAAGGCACTGTGTAAATGTAATCTGTTGTTGCTATTGTCACCTCCTCAGATGTTCGCCTTGACTTGCACATTGTGTCTCGGACATGATGGGTGGGGGTTAGTGGAGGAGGTGGGGGAAGGCACCTTGGGGTGATTGACGCGATGTATCCTCTGCCTCCTGGTGACACTCCTCACCAGATTGGTCGAGTCCAGAGTCAGAGCCAGGGCTTGTGTACTGGACACGGGGATGGTACTGAGTCTTCCTGAAGGCAACAGACAAACGTGCGCTCAGTGAGGACGATGTGAATGTTTTGCTGGAAACAAATCAATATAAGGCAACTCACTGCTGGTTGAAGGCTTCACAAAACTTTCCAGCCAGATCCACTCTCTCCACCCTTTCCCAACACCTAGTCTACACTAGTCCAGAGAGGCATGCACCTTCATGTTGTAGGAACCCCCATCAGCCCCCACCCCAATCACCCCCACTACCTTGTTTACTAGGTAAAACTGCCTAAGAATGTCAAGGTGGGTGTTAGCGATGATGTTTGATTTTTGTCCGTGTGTTTAAGGGGCCTCACAAGCCTACACTACATCCGGGAGTGTCTGGTCATCTGCGGATCCTCTTTGTCAGGACTCAAGCGATCACCCCAGGGAATAGTTCGAATCCCATACGGAGCAGGAATCGATAAGCTTCTGGGTGAGCTTTCCCCAGATAAACCCTTCCGCTCCTGGGTCTGTTTGCAGCATTCACTCACACATACCAATCCAGAAGACATATGCATATACACACACACACACCTATAGACACATACACCATCAAATATACACACTCACCATAAAACATTCACAATCACCACCAAATACACACACACACGCAACACTCAGCACCATATCTACACACAAACACAACATCAAACATAGACCCACCATCATACACACACGCATAAACACCATCATGCACACCATCTGGCTCCATCAATCTCCCTGACTGCTTGGTCTGGCTCACAAAGGCATGGTGTCACAGAAGCTCTTTGAGATGTTAACCCTACATCCAAAGCGCTGTACAAGTGCTGGCTCTTGCTGTCTCTTGGGCTGGAGATTCTATTGCTATAACACGTCTTCAATTTGTTCTGCAGAATTCATGCATATCCACGCGGGGGAGGTAGAAATTCAGAAAACTACTCTCAGATATCTGATCGCAATACTGGATGATCAGGAGGGTGAGTCAACACAGAATGTAGCAGCAACACCCAGGAAGCCGCCCAATACTCAACACCATCTGTCTGAGCATTGCCTGTGACCAGCATCAGCTGTGCTCATAGGGTGATGCCAGCCAGATATGAAGGGGTTTATTACCCTCGAAAAAGCGATCCGCCAATCAAGATACCGGTCAGTGTACAGATATCTCTTTGAAAGAGGGGATTGAGAGATAACAACAACAACAACTTGGATTTATGCAAGTCAGTGTGTAGATATCTCCCTGAGGTGACAGCTGAGAAGATTTAGGAGGTGACCCGATAGAGGTCTTTAAGGCTACGAATGTTTATGACGGGAAATCACAACAGGTTACTTCCGGTGGTCACTGAGTCAGTCAGAAGAGGGCAGAAATATACGACAAGCACGTAAAAGGAATTAAAGGGGAGGCTACAAAATCTGTGGATTGATTCAGATTTGCATAGACTGTACAGAATGGACATTCGGACCGACTTGCCTTTGCCGATGTTTATGCTCCATGACACGAGTCAGTAACTGGAGTGAAGGCAACATTCATCCGTTCTTTACAATACAACAGATAGATTCCTGCGAAAGAGGAAAATTGACCACCGTGCGGGGGGAGCGAGTGGGGGAGTAGGATCAGACTGATCGTACCGTCTATTGTTTGGGACACAAAATGTCAAGCCACTGCCACGATGGTGGAAGACGAACCTCGGTCTTCTTTCACCTAGCAAATTCATATGTTCCCACACGGAGAAAGCCACCAATACTGAGCTGAGCTGATGGGCTGAACGGCCTGTTTTCTGTCTAACGTTCTGTGGTAACTTAGTGCTGCTCTCACCACACAATCACGCTCTCTCTCACACACACACGGATGGCAGTTAATATAGTGCTTTGACATTGAAGTGGATCTGAAATGACATAGTGATCTCCCCCTCCCTCTCTCTCTCTCTTACCCTTCTCTGTGCTCAGTGCTCTTGGCCAACGCTCGTATCATTCCCGTGCTCGTAACAGCTCTGAAGATCCACAGTGACAGCCTGGAGGTGCAGGTGCAGGTGTGCCGAGTGCTATTGAGATTTGCTACTGAAGGTATGACCAATTCTCACATTTACTATTGTTCAGGATGAGGATAAATCCTCAAAGAGCCTCCCCTCCTTTGCCTAATGTGACCTCACCCCAGAGCGTTCGCAGGCCTTGCTCTAGTGCGCCTGCTCCTGGCTAGCTGTTTGTGCAGGTATGCACACAGTGCACAGTCTTTTCACTTTACAGTATATTCTGTGAAGCGCTTTGAGACATCTCAGAGACCTGATAAGGCAGGATCACGTCTGTTTCAAATGCAAGGATTATTATTGTTATGTAGGTGCGTGATTGTACATGTTTCTATGTGTTTACATGTGTTTGAGTGTATGTCCTGTGTGTAGACAATAATAATCCTTGCATTTGGAATAGTATCTTATCACGTCATTGGGACGTCTCAAAACACGTCACAAAATATACTGTAAAGCGAACTGACCGTGTATTTTGCGAGCGAAAAGTGTACATATGTTTGTGTAGGGATATTGTTTGTGTGGGTGTACATCTGTTTGTTTGTGCGCATGTGTGTGTACATCAGTGTGCGTGTGTGTGTGCAAACAAGAGGAGTCCTCTCTCAGTACCCGTTGCTTTGCCTTGCAGCCACAGAGCAAGGCCTGGAGGAGGGAGACCTGTTTGGTGTGAGCGTTATCAACTCGGTGCTTGTAATCCTGCGCTCTTGGGACAAGTGTGTCGAGCTGGAGGTCCTCGTCTGCAACCTCATCATGATGCTGTCCGGAAGCCGTGGGTACCAACCACACCGCGGGCGTCAATCCTGCTCACCCCACACACTGCTGCAGCTCCATACCCACTGGTTAATGATCCGTTATCGGTCAATGATTCATTAGCGGTCAATCAGTTACTAGTTGACAATTAGCTAGTGGTTAAACAGTTACTAGTTAATGGTCAGTGAGTGGTGAATTAGTTACAGGTTAATGATCAGCTCATGTTCGGTTACTAGTTAATGATCAGCTTGTGATTAATGATCGGTTATTTACTAATTAAGTACATATTGCTGAGCAGTTAGTTAGTTACCAATTAAGTTACAGGTTAATGATCAGTCTAATGTTTATCAGTTAATACCTGATAGATGTATTACTGTTTGAAAAGCAGTTGGTAGTTTTAATGATTGTTCTTCCCATGGTCTCTCCCCCCCCACCCACCCACCCACAGTGACTGCGGTGAAGCTGATCGGCACAATGAATGGGATTCACGACATCCTGAACGTGATGCAAAAATTCAGAGACAACAGCCACATCTGCACGCCGTGCTGTGCCGCTCTCTGGAGCATCGTCGTCAACAGTGAGTGTACATAAAGAGCATAATATAGTCACTACACTTTACAGTATATCCCGTGCAGCACTTTGAGACGTCTCAACGACGTGATAAGGGGCTGTATTAAATGCAAGGATTATTAATGTTATTATGAACATAAGAACTTGCTGGCGAAAGATGACCAAGGTCTACCTAGTTCGCCTTCCACCATCCTGGCAGTCGCTTGACATGTCGTGTCCCCAATCTATATACTGTATCTCCCGATATTATTTTCCAGCAGAAATCTATCTAATCTGTTCTTGAAACAACAACACTTTCAGCTTCCACCGTCTCCCTCCCTAGGGGAACCTGTTCCATAAGTTTACTACTCGCTCACTGGTGTAGTGTTTCCGCAGATTTGTTCTGAATCTGCCCCCACACCCCCGTGCACACAGGGTGCCACATGGACAATCTGATGTGCTGGAGGTGGCTCCTGAGCTCTCTGCCTTGCTGTCCTGCTGCTGACGTGCAATATCAATGATTACAATCGTCTCCTGTTGTGTTTGCCACAGGCTACAATGCCAAAATTGCTCAGAGGGAAGGAGCGCTGGACAAAGTGTGCTACGTGCTGGAGTGGCATCTCCACAACGGGATGGTGGTTGAGGCAGCCTGCTCAGCACTCTGGGCATTAGCCTTGGAAGGTAAGACTCCAGGAACCTTGTTATAACACCCCCGGCCTAGCACCTCGATTATAAATAAAAGCAGAAGTTCCTGGGAACACTCAGCAGGTCAGGCAGCATCTGTGGTGAGAGGAAAGCGAGCTAACATTTCAGGTCGATGACCTTTCTTCTCTTAGTGTGTGATGGCATCGCCTCCCGCACACTTTACTCCCCACCTTGCTCGGGTTTCCACAGCGACACCGCTTCGAGATGTTAACCTGATGCACACATTCATTGCTCTCTCTCTTCAGAGCGCCTGACTGATAGCAAGTCTGAGAAACTGACACTACTCCTGCTCGAAGGGCTTCATATCCACCTCCGCAAGAACCTGGTGGTGAAAGTTACCTACCTTTTACTCGCCTGCCTGATTCACAAGTCAGGTGAGCTCTTGCGCACAGCAACCAACGTCAAGAGAGTAAAGTGGAGAAGAGGAGGATGCTTCGGAAACCAGGAACGTTCAGTCAGACTGGAGAAGGCTCAGGGGTGATCCCGAAGGTCATAGATCCCAAGAATCCCAAAGGGCGTAGATACACTGGACTGTCGTGCTCCACGTAATTTTGTATTGTATTGATACAGAGGTGTTCATAACCTCATCTCATCACGCAGAGGGTGGCGAGAGTGCGGGGCAGGCGGAATCGATCGGGATGTTTAAGAGGGAGATAAGAATTTGGGAAATTAGGGAGTTAAAGGAAGGGGTAAAAAAAGTATTAATTTTCTGCTATCCACCCTCCAATAAACTGGTGGAACAAGCTCCAAGGCTGAATATCCGTCTCCTGTTCCTCAAAAGTAGACGCAGAATCGAGGTGAGGAGAAGGTGGAGGTGACGATTGTTCAGATGGTATGACTTTACACAGTAAAGAGAGTGGTGATCGTGTGGCCTGGATGAGCCAGGGAGCTAGTGAGGGCAGGTTGTGTCACCAAATATAAGAGAGCTACTTGGGGGAAGAAATCGACTAGAGGGTGCAAGAGAATAAGAGGTGCTCTTATACCTGGGGACAAAAGTAGATAAAAGGAAAGATGGGTTAGATCACAAACAGAAAGGTTATTGTAACCTCAGTATCTCTCCCCCCATCCCACTTCCTTGCCCTCTGCACCCAGACAGCTGACTCCCCGCCCTCGGCCCCCGCACCATCCATATACCCCATACACTGACAGTCGAGTGCTTTGTCTTTCAGAACTTGTAGCATTCAGGATCCTGGTACCGGAAGAGGAAAAAGATGGCCTCAGTTCGATAATAAGCAGCTACTATGTTCACCAGGAAGACCCGGAGATAGTGGAGAACATCTGTACCCTGTTCTTTGAGTTGGTCCAATACAGTGAGTTGGCTTCACAGCGTGGAACATAGCGGGATAGTACAGCACTGCAGTGTTGGAGGCTCCGTCCTTTGGATGAGACCTTAAACCGAGGTACTATCTTGTGCACGTTCAGGTGCATGTTAAGGATCCCGCTGCACTATTGCAGAAGAAAAGGCCGTTTTCCCTGTGTCATGGCTAAAAATCCCTCCCAATGAATTGGTCAGTTACTCCATGGCTATTTACAGAATCTTGCGGTGCTCAATTGGCTGCCGGGTTTGCCGAGAAACGAGTCACAATACTCAACAATAATAATCCTTGCATTTGTTATAGCACCTTATCGCGTCTTCAAGACGTCTCAAAGCACTTCAAAGAATATACTGTAAAGTGAATTGACTGTGTATTTTGTGGGCAAAATAATACCCTGTGAAGGAAGCATGTTGAGATGTTTCAGCATCAACAGTGCTGTAAACAGGAATTATTTTCTTGGGAGTTGGTTACTGAGGACGGCTCTGGTCTGACCTAGAGTGGGTTACTGAGGATCTCTCTGCTTTGTCCTGTTACAGAGGATGTGAAAATTGAGCTATTATCTCAGAACATCATGCAATTGTTGAATGAAATCAAAGTGAAATATGCTTCCAATGAGGTAACTCAAATCTGTGCCATCTATTTTTGCCTCCCGCGCTTTTACATTTTTTTAATGACAAAGGCTGATGTGTAAATCATAACTTCTCAAGCGAGGCGACTGAGGCCATTACCGATTAAAGGGAATATCAGCAAAGATCAGCGCTGTACATACTGCTTCTTTATATGGGGAGCTGCTTCTCTCTGATGTGCTTTTCCACCGCTGGAGCTCCACTCAAGACTTTTCTTTTCTTCCTTGGCTAGGAAATTTGCAGCATCATAGAATCCACACTTCTGAGACTGCAGAATACCCAGACAGAGCTAGACCTGATGCTGCAAGATCAGACAGAGAGAGACACAAATGAGAGTCAAGCAGAGAGCGGTTTGACTGAGGACGGTGTGAGATACCCAATTAAGGGTCGGGCAGAGGGAGATATAACTGAGGGTCAGGCAGAGGGAGATATAACTGAGGGTCAGGCAGAGGGAGGAGTAACTGCGCGTCAGGCAGAGGGAAGAGTAACTGCGGGTCAGGCAGAGGAGGGAGTAACTGCGGGTCAGGCAGAGGGAGGAGTAACTGAGGGTCAGGCAGAGGGAGGAGTAACTGAGGGTCAAGCAGAGGGAGGAGTAACTGAGGGTCAGACAGAGGGAGGAGTAACTGAGGGTCAGGCAGAGGGAGGAGTAACTGAGGGTCAGGCAGAGGGAGGAGTAACTGAGGGTCAGGCAGAGGGAGGAGTAACTGAGGGTCAGGCAGAGGGAGGAGTAACTGAGGGTCAGGCAGAGGGAGGAGTAACTGAGGGTCAGGCAGAGGGAGGAGTAACTGAGGGTCAGGCAGAGGGAGGAGTAACTGAGGGTCAGGCAGAGGGAGGAGTAACTGAGGGTCAGGCAGAGGGAGGAGTAACTGAGGGTCAGGCAGAGGGAGGAATAACTGAGGGTCAGGCAGAGGGAGGAGTAACTGCGGGTCAGGCAGAGGGAGGAATAACTGAGGGTCAGGCAGAGGGAGGAGTAACTGAGGGTCAGGCAGAGGGAGGAGTAACTGAGGGTCAGGCAGAGGGAGGAGTAACTGAGGGTCAGGCAGAGGGAGGAGTAACTGAGGGTCAGGCAGAGGGAGGAGTGACTGAGGGTCAGGCAGAGGGGGGAGTAACTGAGGGTTAGATGGAGGAAGATTAGGTACCAGTGACCTACACAACATTGGTTAAATAAAAAGAGCACATTGAGATGGGAACATGACTCTCTTAACACTAAAATGTGCTTTTATTAAACAGATAAGTCATTTCTCTTGTGTGCAAGACAGAAATGTTATTGTTTCAACAAACATTCCCTGCCCCCCGGTAGGACTGGGACCACTGCTGTTCTGAACTCGCTTCCCACTGCGGTCTGCCTGATCGTGTCTCGCACAGCAGTGAGCGGTATTGTCCGTTAACATCAACTAGGAACACAATGGGGAAAATAAACGCCACCAGTGACAGATGCACGCGGGCACATACTCGTCACAGCGCAAAACATCAGACCTGAAGGATTTCATGGGTGCTGCACTGCCCCCCAGGGCTCAGTCTGCCCGCTTCACATTCCCAACACGTCTCCTGGTCCACTGGCCAAGACCAAACCATGGGCTGCTCAGCCTTGTCCACCAGCGTCTCCGAGATATCTGACGAGCCGTTAAGCCACCCTGCCCGCTTTAAGCCAGTTTGGTGGTTGTGGTTTTTATTTAATAAACAAATATGAAAGCTGCTAGCAAACAATGTCCCGTGGCTTGAGGTGCTGGGAGCCAGAGTCGCAGGAAGGCAGTCTAGTTCTTGGCCAGCCTTCGCCTCGCTGGGAGGTTGATCGGGTTCCCGCTAGCTGTTCTGAACTACTGACTCGGTGGTTGGGTTTCTTTTCACTGCTCTTTTTTCTTTAAGCTCTGCCTCCCACTGCTTCTTCACCAAGGTGTATAGTCTCATTGCAGCCTGGGCATCCTGTACCTGAGGAGGAACAGACACATTATACACAGGGCGTAGACTGACCGATGCACTGACCAGAGGTTATATATATCAGACAGCAACAGAGTCATCAGATCGCAGAATTATTTACACCTTCAAAATCTGCCAGTTCAGAGGAGACGGGTAGAAACACATGAGATAGTACTTACAGAGCAATGCTCAGATTCCTGGACCCTAATGTTGAGGATGTCCCTACACAGGAGCTTCAGAGAGGGGCGGCCCGACTGTTAAGAGGAAAAATGTTTGAATTATTATCAATTTTAGTCTTTTATGGATGCTGAGCCTCACATGATCAGCCTCCACCGTGTGTGAGTGTATTCTCTCGCTCTCTTCACAATTCTGCTCTTCATTTCACTGACAAGTTACAATCACTCCAGCTCTGTCATTCTTATCAAACACCACTTCCAGGGGGTGGGGTTGGGGGGGGGGTGGGTCGGCGTTGATGGAGGTAAGCGGAGTCTCCTTGGAGCTGAACTGGCACCCAGGTGACATGCCTGGCAATGGAATGTCGGAATCGAGCCAGTCCCTGTGTCAGTCGGTCTCTAGTCCGCTTCCTGAGCCAGGCAGGTCCACAGTATTCCAGGGCTGATGACATTACAGCCCAGCCTGGTTCATCGGCAGGACCTGGAAGGACAGACCAGTCACTGGGGACAGGGAATCATCCCACTCAACTCCAGTTAATCCTGCGAGCCAAAGACCTAATGGATAGGGTGGTCCTAGCTGGACAAGCGGCAGGAAAGCTTGCCAGATAGCAATATCAATGGCAATCTATATGGTTTTAAACTGGTTAGATTCCAGCAGTTACCCTAACCCACACTCTGGGATCCCCAAGCCTTGGCTCTTGTCAACCTGCACCTAATACTTTCTGGCAGGATACGTCCCTTCCAGGGAGAGAGTGGGCATTCCATTCCAACATTTGTAGATGGGATGCCTAGAAATCTGTTTGGTTTGGATTGTACTATAGGGAAGGGCCACGTAACATCACCACAGCTTGGACAAAAGTCTCTGAATGCACATCGCTCACTCACACAAGTTCCAGCTTGACTTACGTTAACTATTTTTCTGAAAGGTTTGTACTTCTGTGTGTCTCTGATTTTCCTTTTTGGGTGATCAAGGAATAAGATCTGTAAGCAATGAAACAACAGTTATCAGCAGCCTAACTACTTGAAATACAGCAAGTCACCTACGCAACAACAGTTGCATGGTTGTTGGAGCTTCAATTAGATGAGACGTTAAAGCGAGGTCCCATCTGCCTATTTAGGCAGATCCCATGGTACTATTCAAAAAAGAGAAGGGAGTTTCTCCTAGCCAACAAACCCCCAAGTAAAATTAGTCATTTGTTTCACGGCTGTTTGTGGGACACTGCTGTGCGCAATTGTACTGCCACGTTTGCCTATAAATGGTCACTATATTTCACAGTACGTGCTGTGAAGTGCTTAAGAGATGTACTTCCAACACGTTAAGGCATTGTATCAAATGAAAGGTTTAATATTATTACCTTCAGATCATTATGTATCGCGTGGCCAACCAACATCCGTTCGCTCAGCAAATCTGCCACCTCCTTCTGCACCACCTTAAACTCCTCACCTGACAAAGAGGCCAAAGCAGTTTGAAAGTGAGACAGAAAAAGAAGTGTACAAACTCATTTCAGGAACAAGGATAAGTAATTATAGATTATTAAACAATATACAGAAAGGTGCACAGACCCCCTAAATATACACACATATATATATACACACACACAAACAAAAACCACCCCCCGCCCCACACAGACACTCAAAACACACACAGATAGATGCAGGAGGATTTGTTACACTGAGTTACATCCAGAATAACTACACAACAGATGCTCAAATGCTCACTGGGAAGCGACTCAATGACAGAGGCTGCACTCTTTCCCAGCAGCCAAAAGATCAGCCCAAAATTCAGAGCTACTCACTCACCGTTCTTCATATCGTGGGGTCGGATCCCGCTGACTGGCGTCCGGTAATCTGTTACTTTCTCGGTTGGTTTAACGTATTTGTCATAAACACATTTCCCAAAATGGTTGACGATAGAAACCCGAGCCAGGATGCTCTCCACACCGTCAGGCCCCACTCCCACCATCTCACAGTCCATTGCCACGGCTTTTGTCAGTCTGTAACAACAAACAAATACAGAAAGTGTTCTTCACATTCCAGCTCAGAAAGAGTAAAGCTCCCTCTACACACTGATCGTCCAGCATTCCCAGGTCAGCGACAGCATGAATTATATACAGAGTAAATCTCACTCCTCTGATTATGCAACATTGCAGCTCAGTGTGTGAATCTATTAAAGGGCAGCAAGTCCACCAGCGCCTACCCAGTGAAGCCTCCATCTTTAACCAGGGTCTCCTGGACAGGGTGCACCGCGGCCTTTGGTGCGTAGCCCACCTGCTGCCGGGCCACAAGCCCTGCCTGCTGCCCCATGGCAGCTTCGATTTCGTCAGGATCCACGTCGTCAAACCAGATGTCAGGCGTGGCAAGAACTGGAGCGGCCGAGCTGTGAGTACAGAGACAAGCAATAATAAGAAATCCTCCCAGTTGCTGCAGTGCCTTATTTGTCAAAACATCTCAAAGCACTTCAGAGATTCCAATAAAGTGTAGTGACTGTACTAATTGCCTAGAGTCAGTTAATTGGTGCATAACATTGTCTCACAGCCAGAATAATAACAATAAGAATCCTTGCATTTGATGTAGCGCCTCATCACTTCACTGAGACATCTCAAAGCACTTCACAGAATATACTGTAAAGAGAATTGACCATATATTTTGTGGGAGAAACACAGCAGCTAATTGCACAACAGAAGGAACCCTGGCTATTACCCCCGCACTCCAAAAAAAATCAGGAATGCTATGGCCTAACATAGCCCTGAGTGCAGCCTCCAACTTATATGAGTAACTCAGCACAGACCTGTTCACACTTGTTTGGGGGTGGGGGGGGGATGGATGAGAGAGAAATATACAGGATACAGCAGTGCAGTAGACACACCTTTTATAGAAAGAAAAAACTTGCATTTTTATTGCACCTATAATCTCAAAATATTTCTAAACCCTTTGGTAATTGCTACCCAAACTGTTTTTTGTAGTAAATGAAGCAGCCACTTTGCACGCAGAAAAGTATCACAACCAACCAGCCACAAGGTGAACAATGTCAATTTATCTGGAGGAGAAACTCCATTCTCTTTTCTGATAGTGCCATGGGATCTTTATTGTCACCTGTAAAGACATTCAGGTTAACATCTCACCTGAAGGATGACATCAACACTACAGAGCTCCCGCCAGCATTGCACCGTGTTGTCAATCTGTGGGCTCAAGACTCAGGGTGGGGCTTGAACCCACAACCTTCTGACTCACAGACGAGGATACAACCGATTGGGACACCCTATAATCTGAATGTATAAAGAGCAGTAACTGTCCTGTTTTTACGGTATCAAGCACAAGGCTGAGCCCAAGCCTGGGGAATGATTTACCTTACACTTACCCTGTTCGTTTCTCACTCTCTCTTTTTCGTTTCTTGTCTTTGATGTGGTTTTCCTCTGGAGGCTGGCGTCCTTTTTGCCGCTTCCCTTTGGCGACGGGTTTAGTGGCCTGAGTTCCATTCTCCTTCACCGGCTCCCTCAGCGCGCCATTAGCTGCTTGGCGTTTCTCTTCTGTGGCTGACTTTGGTTTCACCTTGCGTGAAGGAGTCTCCTCCGCAGCCAAGTCCACACGGAGCTTGGACTTCTTTTCTAGAACTTTCTGCGTCTCTGGAGTTGAGTTCTGAGCAGCCGTCTTCTCATTCATCAGCTGATTGAAAGGAATAAAAGTTTGTAAGGAAATAATTCCTAGAATACTCAAAATCACCACTCTTGCCCGACTGTCACTCCCAATTGGTTGGAGGATCAAGCACTGGACTTGAGACAAGAAGAGTCCTACTGGTTCTACTGAGCCCTTCACCCATTTACCGGATCTAAAGGAACCACTTAACATAGACCATGACAAGCTGTTTCATCTTGTCCAGAACAGTAGAACCAGAGACATGGCCTGCACTTAAATTCAAAAAATTCAAATTCAAAACTAATCTGCAGAAACATTATTTCAGTGAGTGAGTGGTAAATCTATGTTACAGGCTCCCTTGGGAGATGGTGGAAGCAGAAAGTTTTAGATTAATTCAAGTGCAAATTAGGTTAGATTTCTTTAAGAAAATAATATTTTTGGATATAGTATGCGTAATTTGAGACATGACATATGGCAAGTGTAATATTAGAAATGAGCAACTTCGCACTCATGGTTTCCAGAGCTTTCCACCACTTTTCTCACGTCATGCCCGAGTCTGTTGTAGTCTAATCGATAAAGATTGCCATGATTAGTTAACATCTCCATTATTATTTTAACAAGTGACTGCCGGGAAGGCAGAAGGTGAACTGGATGGACCAAGTTTTTTTTCGTCTGGCAATTCCTACGTTCCTCTCCTCTCACCTGCTGAAGTTTCTTCCAGTTGGTGGAGTATTCCAGAGCTCCTTTGGGAGGCAGAGGCACCTCTACACCACTCTTCTTTTTGGTCACACCTGTATTATTTACCCAAAACTTCTTTTTTTTTGATTTTTTGGGTTTGCGCGGCTTAGCCTCTGGCACTGCACTGCTGCTGGACTTTCCTTTGGCCATTTTCTGTTCATCGGCTACTGGGCGCACAAACGGTCATCACTGTGGACACATTAATTGGGGGAAATCAGTGACAAGCATAGCCCCAGGATGATTGGGGGTGAATCACGAGCGCGGCTGGAAGGCATTTCGTCCCTTGGAGGCTTGTGAGGGCACTATTTTTTTTCCCCCAGTGCCCCTTATGTTCCCAGTTACCCCTATCGTGCCTCCGCTTTAGATCCTTGTCACGTCCCAACCGACGCCCTTTCACACTGCGACAACATGCTCTGCGGTTGTGACAGCGCCTTTCGTGGAAAGAGGACGCCCTGCGACGCTCCCGGTCTATTATTTCTCCATCATTATCCCTATTAAAAAAAACCCTAGTTTTTATTGGGGTGGGAGGGGGGGAAAGGGGGAGGGTTGTGTGGGAAAGGGGTGTGTGGGCGGGGGGAAAGGGTGTGTGTGTGGGGAAGGGTGTGTGTGGGGGGGGAAGGGTGTGTGTGGGGGGGGAAAGGGGTGTGTGTGGGGGGGAAAGGGGGTGTGTGGGGGGGAAGGGGTGTGTGGGGGGGAAGGGTGTGTGTGTGGGGGGGAAAGGGTGTGTGTGGGGGGAAGGGGGTGTGTGTGGGGGGGAAGGGTGTGTGGGGGGGAAAGGGGGTGTGTGGGGGGGGAAAGGGGTGGTGTGGGGGGGAAGGGTGTGTGTGGGGGGGAAAGGGTGTGTGTGTGGGGGGGAAAGGGGGTGTGTGTGGGGGGGAAGGGTGGTGTGTGGGGGGGAAAGGGGGTGTGTGTGGGGGGGAAAGGGGGTGTGTGGGGGGGGGGTGGGGGGGAAGGGGTGTGTGTGGGGGGAAGGGGGGGGGGGGAAGGGTGTGTGTGGGGGGGAAAGGGGGTGTGTGGGGGGGGAAGGGGGGTGTGGGGGGGGGTGGGGGGGGGAAGGGGGTGTGGGGGGAAAGGGGGTGTGTGTGGGGGGAAAGGGGGTGTGTGTGGGGGGGAAGGGGTGTGTGTGGGGGGGGAAAGGGTGTGTGTGTGGGGGGGAAGGGGTGTGTGTGGGGGAAGGGTGTGTTGTGGGGGAAAGGGGTGTGTGTGGGGGGGAAAGGGGGTGTGTGGGGGGGAAAGGGGGTGTGTGGGGGGGGAAAGGGTGTGTGTGTGGGGGGGGAAAGGGGTGTGTGTGGGGGGGAAAGGGGGTGTGTGGGGGGGAAGGGGGGGGTGTGGTGTGGGGGGGAAAGAGGGGGTCACATGCAGAAGCCCATCACTACGCTGAAAGCCCTGAGTGTGCGTTGGGGGTAACTGTCCTCCGCCCTCATTTCCCCAACGACACCGCCAGGAAAACCTCTGACGGGCACTAGAATTCCCGCCCAAACTTCCCTCCTCTCCCGAAAAGAAATGTACACAAGAATTCCCGGGAATACCTCTGTCTGTTACTCTCTGCGATGCCCCGAGTGCGCGCGTCTCTCTCTCTCCCTCTCACTCACTCACACACGCGCCGGTCTCCCAAACCGGAAACGCCACCAGTAAATGCCTCCGACCCGCGCGCGGTGCCTCCACAAAGCGGCCGCTTCCGGTCTCTTCACTCCACTGATTGATGACCCCAAACACTGACCCCCATACACTGACTGACCCCCAAACACTGACCCCCATACACTGACTGACCCCCAAACACTGACCCCATACACTGACTGACCCCCAAACACTGACTGACCCCCAAACACTGACCCCCATACACTGACTGACCCCCAAACACTGACCCCCATACACTGACTGACCCCCAAACACTGACTGACCCCCAAACACTGACTGACCCCCAAACACTGACCCCCATACACTGACTGACCCCCAAACACTGACTGACCCCCAAACACTGACGCCCATACACTGACTGACCCCCAAACACTGACCCCATACACTGACTGACCCCATACACTGACCCCATACACTGACTGACCCCCAAACACTGACCCCATACACTGACTGACCCCCAAACACTGACCCCCATACACTGACTGACCACCAAACACTGACTGACCCCCAAACACTGACCCCATACACTGACTGACCCCCAAACACTGACCCCCATACACTGACTGACCCCCAAACACTGACCCCCATACACTGACTACCCCCAAACACTGACCCCATACACTGACCCCCATACACTGACTGACCCCCAAACACTGACCCCATACACTGACTGACCCCCAAACACTGACCCCATACACTGACCGACCCCCAAACACTGACCCCATACACTGACCGACCCCCAAACACTGACCCCCCGTCTGACCCCCAAACACTGACCCCATACACTGACTGACCCCCAAACACTGACCCCCATACACTGACTGACCCCCAAACAGTGACCCCATAGACTGACTGACCCCCAAGCACTGACCCCATACACTGACTGACCCCATACGCTGACTGACCCCCAAACACTGCCCCCATACACTGACTGACCCCCAAACACTGACCCCATACACTGACTGACCCCAACACTGACTGACCCCCAAACACTGACCCCATACACTGACTGACCCCATACACTGACCCCATACACTGACTGACCCCCATACACTGACTGACCCCCAAACACTGACCCCATACACTGACTGACCCCCAAACACTGACTGACCCCCAAACACTGACCCCATACACTGACTGACCACCAAACACTGACCCCATACACTGACTGACCCCAAACATTGGCCCCATACACTGACTGACCCTCAAACACTGACTGAGCCCCATACACTGACCCCATACACTGACTGACCCCCAAACACTGACCCCATACACTGAATGACCCCATACACTGACTGACCCCAAACACTGACCCTATACACTGACTTACCCCATACACTGATCCCATACACTGACTGACCCAAACACTGACCCCATACACTGACACCGCCGACAGGCCTCCATGTCTATATTATATATGAAATGCAAGGATTATCTAACCCTATTGTTGTCTCGGTGAGATTGATTAATATTTTTATGAATTATCATTCATGTGAAAAAATTTGTTTTTTTTGTTCAGTGCCCTATAGATGCAATCTTTGTGTTGTGTGTGTTTTTATTCCATTGTCAACAGTGAATTTCTTAACTTGGCAACCGTGAATGATTGTACTCATGTTAGTGATTTGTGGTTTCAGGGAAGAGGGTTGTGTAATTTTTAGAGAGGGAGAGAGCAGAAAAAGTCCGGAAGGCATTGGACGAAACAGATTTCCTGAGTTCGGACTGAGTTAACTGCTAACCCTAACAGAACTACTTCAGGGTATTTGAGCTGGGTTCCACGGCTTGTGGGAGAGGACTTTTCCATGGGGTATCTTTACTTTCTTTTCACGATGCAAAGGGTTTAAGGACAGCAGAATGAGTCTCTCATTCCCCATCACAGCTCTGCTACTTTTAACTCAATTCACATGGGTGTGGACATCTCTGAACCAGGTAAAACCAGAAAACCAAACTGCTAAGGTTAACAATTATCGTTATTAAATAAAAGTATCGTTAGATCAAGCCAATCTTACCAGTCGGGGTGCTACCAGTCACCAAGCTTCCCTCTTAGAGTTTATTATTATCATAGTTGCTATCACCAAAGTAAAAAGCTGAAGGACCTGATGCGGAGAAAATGGTGGACAGAGGTTGAAAAAAAAGTTAGTCAAAGGCTGAAAATACATAGAAAATTGTGTCTTTTGTCTAATACCAGCTTGTTACAATCTGCTTTTTAGACTGTCCTGTGGCCGAGGGAAACAGATCGATCTTATTTTGGCACTAGTTCAAGGAATGAAGGTACAGCTCACATTTGCAAACACTTTTCCCCAGAGAAGTTTAAATTATTAAATGTGCTAAAGCTAAAATGCGCTAATTTGCTTCTTAAAGAATGTTTATCCGTTACTGCCCAGATATATGGGTGAGATCAAACAACTCGAGGGTCTTTTGATCCATGCCTCTTGTGATCTTGAAGGGATGTGATCAAGTGGCTTATTAAAGAGGGTGTGGAGGGGCTGTCTTCATGAAAAGGAATTTGGCCTAATTTGTAGTTGTCTTAGGAGAGGGGAGCAGAGCAGGAACAACAGTGTGTCTTTTTTGCAATGATATTATGGGGTAGGAATCACCACAATGTGTTGTGTGTTTAACAAAGACATTTTCAGCACAGAACAAAGCCCATCTTGTCTGTCTGTATGTTTTTTTTTAATGCCCTTGCCCTTTTTATTATTAATCTGCCTATCTGAATCTGGTTCATTGGGATTCTACACATAGGGAAGGTGTTTTTCGCATTGGGATTCTTTGCTTTAATGCTGTGTGTTTGCCTGGTGTTGGCCTGGATGTGACTGTACTAGGATCACTGACCTCCAGCAGCGCAGAAGATTTACATTCACCTTGTCTTGGGGAAGGACTAGGAAGCCCCTGGCTCCGTGTCTCACCCACTTCCCGATACTCACTGACTGATGTGACGTCCTTCAGCATCCGGCCAGCACCAGTAAGCCTTTGGACCAAATAATAATTTGGTTATTCAATCCACGACTGTTTGTGGGAGGAGATTCTAATTGACAGTCTGAGGAAAGCCTCTCACAGAACCTCGAGTCTTGTCTTCGGAGTGTGAAGCGAATGGGTGATTCCGGGTACAAAACTGAGAATGGTTCTCTTGTGCTTGAACGCAGCAGCCCGAGCCAGCTCCTCTCATGTGAGAGCGAGATCCATCAAGGATACCAAGCACCTGGAGCTGCTTGTGGTGGTGGGACACGACGTTTACCAGTTTCACAAACAGGACACCGAGCGCTACGTGCTCACCAACCTCAACATCGTGAGTGATTGCAAGAGGGGCTGGGGGAGTGGGGGGAAGGGTCTGGGGAGGGTCCCAATGGAGAGGGTCTGAGAGAGAGAGAGCTAGCCGCTTATTACCCTGTACTGGAGTGTGAGGGAAGTACAAGCAGAGCTTCCCCACACAGTGGAGCAGTGCTCATGCCCTGAAGGAATCCGGGCTTTGTGTTGAGTTCAGTGTTTCTGCCGCCCGATGGGTTTCGCTGGCGTTGAACTGGTGCTGGGCACCTCACAGGAAGTGTCTGAGCTCGTCTCTTGTGTCGTGTTTGTCACAGGCCGCAGAGCTCCTCCGGCAGCCGTCTATCGGTGCTCAACTCCGAGTCCATCTCATCAAGATGCTGATACTGACAGAGCCAGAGGTACCGGATCTGATGCAGGTCACTCCTAACAAACATTGCATGACTAACCTGTCACCGACCTGGGCTCTACACAGAGTAATCGCCCTCATTTGTATTATAGGGAGCAACTGACCTGTCATAGAACAACAAAACAATTTACATTTGTACAGCGTCTTTCACGTCAGGAAGCGCTGGACAATCAGGGATCCGCAATTGAGCCGGTGGTTGGGATTAGGAGGGGTGGAGGGTGGGGAGGGTAGGGATGTGAAGGCACGGTCAAAGAGGAAGGTCTTGAGATGGGTCTTGAAGGAGGCAAGGGAGGGGGCGAGGTGCCGGGACTGTGGGATGTAGTTCCAGAGAGTGGGGGCAGAGAGGCTGAAGGCCTGCCCGCCTATACTCCAGAGAGCAACTCACCTGTCACACACCTGTGCTAAACTCTTCTCTCTTGCAGCCAGAAGTCACAATCACCACCAACCTCACCTCGTCACTGATTGGTGTATGTCAATGGAGCAGAAAGATTAACCCCGAGAAGGACTCTGAGCCTCTGCACGCTGATCTTGTCCTGTTTGTCACCAGGTTAGTGAACCCGGGTGTTGGAGTCACCCCTCCCGTTGGGATCACTTGGCTGGCGTGTGTAAATGCTCTTGTGTGTTTTTGCCGTGTTCCAATGTGTCCCAATCTGCCGTGCTTTTTCTTCTGTGAGGTTTGACCTGGAATCTGACAATGGCAACCAGCTGGTTCGGGGGGTGACACAACTGGGGGGCCTGTGCTCCCACACCTGGAGCTGTGTCATAACTGAGGACACTGGCTTCAACCTCGGCATCACCATGGCTCATGAGATCGGTCACAGGTGAGTGGTGGGGGATGGATGCGCAGGAATTCCGGGGCCTGGCACCTCATTAGCACCCCAGATGATACGGTCTTTGGCTTTTCTCCTCCCATTGGCAGTTTTGGCATTAGACACGACGGGGAGGGCAACGAATGCACAGGGAACGGCCACATCATGGCGGCAGAGGGCGGCTACAACAGCGTGGACCTGACCTGGTCCGAGTGCAGCAGAGAGCGCTTTGTAACCTTTCTCTGGTAGGTACCTCCGTGTTGTGTTCAACTGCGATAGCTGATGGTTGGGTGTGAGGGATGAATCGCACCCATCTCCTATCACAGCGACAAGCCGGGCTGGAGGGTGGGGTGGGATGGGCGAGGGTCTGACGTGGCAATGCTCTCGAGTTGCTCCCAGTGCGCTATTGAATTAATAATAATCCTTGCATTTGATCTAGCGCCTTATCACGTCGTCGAGACGTCTCCAAGCGCTTCAAAGGACACATGGTAAACTGGATGGACTGTGTGTCTTGTGGGTGAAACGCGACAGCCAGTTTGCACACAGGAATGTCCCATAAACAGCCATGGAGTGGAGTGACCAATTTGATTTGGGGGATTGTTGGCCAGGACACCGAGAGAAAGAGAATAGCTCCATGGGATCTTTAATGTTAACCTGAACAGTCAGACGCCCCATCTCAGTTTAACGTCTCATCCGAAGAATGGCACCTCCGATAATGCAGCACACGTTCATCACTGCATTGGAGCATCAGCTTAGACTGTGCGATTCCAAGTTCCAATGTGGGGCTCGAACTCACAACCTTCCGACTCCGAGGCTAGTGCGCTAGCACTGAGCCAAGCTGACACGCAACATTCAGCACAGTGCTGTGGGCAGCGTTGCACTTTGCAGGTGCTGTGGATGTTAAACTTCCCTTTCGGAAAAAAGAAAGGAGCTTCTCTCGGCGTCTTAACCAGCAGTCCTCTTGATAAATCGATCATTCACCTCGTGGAGGGACGTTGCTGTGTGTAAATTCACTCCTGCTTTTGCCGACAAACTACACTTTAGAGCAACTCCCTATGAAACGCTTTGGGATATTTCGATACGACGGATGCTGGATCAAACTCAGGGATTGTCATTATTTTCGTGACTTTTTACACGGGAAACCAGCGATAGACAGACAGTCAGATTGCCACACTGGGCTCAATTCACCTCCAGTTAATATCGGTTTCTCTCTTCACTTGTCTGGCTATGATGGTTCTGGCAGCACAGAGCAAGCTACGTGCTTGAGGGATCTCCCGGCCACAGAGTTGTATCTTTCTGGCCGGAAGCCGGGCTTGTACTACGGAGCGGACGATCAGTGCAAGATCGCCTTTGGGGACAAGGCTTCCGCCTGCACCTTCAACAGCCAGGACATCGTAGGTGCTTTTCACATCGTAATGTGTAGTGTGCTGTATGTACTGGTGATGTGTATGTGTCCCTCCCCCAAGATAATGCATTTACAATTGGTCTGTGCGTGGACAAAATCGTGAGTGGACTCAAAAGGGAATGAATGACTCCTTATCCCACCCTCTCCCAGCAGCCGTAGAGAAACATAAAACAGATCCAGAGAGATGCAGACACCTGGTTTGTGGTCAGGGGCTTACATTTAGCCCACAAAATATACAGTCAATTCACTCTACAGTATATTCTGTGAAGTTCTTTGAGCCGTCTCGAAGACGTGATAAGGCGCTGTATCAAATGCAAGTATTATTACACCAACTGAGCCAGGCGGACACTAAGTCATCATGACATTCAGGAGTACTTGCTGTGAATGCTTGTGGGATATTTTGATATGATAAGGTGGAACAAATAACTAACATGCTGGTGCTTTCCTTCTACTCAGGACATGTGTAAGGTTCTGTCTTGCCACACCGACCCCCTCGATCACTCAGTGTGTACCCGGCTGTTTATTCCTCTGTTGGATGGGACAGAATGCGGCCCGAACAAGGTACAGTCTGTCTTCAAAACCCTGATAAACAGACATTTTATGCATAGAAGGGAGCCATTTGAAGCACTTTGACACGTCTAGAAGATGTAATAAATGCAGGGATTATTATTATTATGAGTATTTGCCCTACCATGTCTCCCAGTGTCCTATCCAATGATCCCCCAAATATAAAATGGGTCATTCACTTCAGGGCTTGGTGAGGGACATTGTTGTGCTCAAATTGCCTGCTGCATTCACCTAGCAGTTCGGTGAGGTTATAAATTATAAGTCACTGGCTAGGCCTACAATCTGTGAAGAGCGTTTTGAGATGTTTCACCAAAGTGATGAGGCGCTGTATCAAAAGCAAGAATTGTACTAAGAGGGTGATTTAGGGCTGCAATGTCTGTGTTTCAGTGGTGCTTAAAAAGCAGCTGCACCTCCCTGGGTGACCTTGGGCCGATCGGAGTTGTTCACGGAGCCTGGTCCAGGTGGAGCCCACAGAGTGACTGCTCACGAACATGTGGGGGAGGGGTGACTCTCAGACACCGGCAGTGTAACAACCCAAGGTAAAGTGGAGTCCTGCAGCTCGGTGGTTAGAGCACTCGCCTCACAAGCAAGAGACCTAGGTTCAATTCCCAGGAGGGGCGAAACGCTGGGCAAGTTTCCTTACCCCATATGCCTCTGTTTACTTAGTAGTAAGTAGGAACCCAGTTGTTCGTCGATTGGCGGATTGCTTTTCTGGCAATAATAATTCCTTGAAAACAATTGGTCATTGTGTCACAAAATTCAAGAGGGAATTAGCTGTTTGGTGAGGAAATGGGTTGAGAAGTGTGAGAGGTGAGTTGGGTTATTGTTTTTTGACTTTATTGGGACTGCTCGCGGGTGTCACAGTAATCTTTTCCATTCCTTTTGATTCCTACGTCTCTTCGATTTGGGTTTTTCTAGGCCGGCATTTGGTGGGCGCACCTGCGAGGGATCACAACTGCATGCAGACATGTGCAACACAGAGGTAAGATTGAGCGGGTTGCACACCAGAGACAGGAGTGTAGACGCAACCATTCCTGAACTCAACACCGTCCTAACCAGCGACATTTCAGCTAAATCGCTAATTCACTTCATGGCTGTTTGTGGGACCTTGGCGTGTGCAAATGGGCTTTGGGTCTGCTGTAAATGCAGTCACTGCAGTTGACAACAATTCCCTCTGAAGCACTTTGAGAAATTTTCACACAATAGGCGCAGAAACAAATGCAAGGATTGTTACTAATTGGTGAACAACCCCTGTTTAATGGGGGCTTCATATTCCAAAGAAGGTACTTGAATGCTGAGATGTTTATTTATTGCTGTGGTTGGACTGACTGCCACAATCAGGAACTACCCTGAAAATTCAGGCACAATTAACACCAGTGGAATTTGGGGTGGTGGGTGGGACATTGTACTCTGTATGTAACCTGGGAGCTGTAGCTGACCTGGGAGTGCTGGATGGAGAGTGTAGAGGGAGCTCGCTTTGCTCTGCATTTTTGTTGGTCAGCTGAGTATTTGACTCGGGCGGAAACTCATCACCATGCTTAAGAGTATCCAAACTAGAATGAGAGTTCCTGTGCATCCCACCTACACGTGGAAATTCCCATGTCTGGAATGGAATGCGCACTCTGTCACTGAAAGGATGCTCCCTGCTTACCTAATTCAGTAGAGTATTATTGTTCTCAACAATGGGTGTCTGAAATGGGAAATAATTCATTGCCAGGTACTGACATCTCTCACCTAGTTGACGTTTATTTTGGAATGCTCTTTTACTCTCTCTCTCTCTCTCTCTCTCTCTCCCCGCAGCCTTGTTGGGAGATGCAGTTGGACTTCATGTCTCGCCAGTGCTCAGACACTAATTCACAGCCTCTTTACCTGACCGAGAAGGTTCCCGTTTACTATAAATGGCTCCCAGCACTCGGCTACGCCACTGGTAATCCTTCAGTCATCCTCCAAAGAGAGCATAGAAAAACTCCTCACCAGTGGAGAGTAACAGGGAAGATAGGAGACTCATCACTGTCCTGGCCAACAAATCCCCCAAATAATATCGGTCACTCACTTCATGGCTGTCTGTGGGACACTGAAGTGCGCAAAGTGGCTACCGCGTTTCACCACAAAACCCGCGCACAGTCAAATCTACTTTACAGTATATCTTATGAAGCAGTTTGTGACTTCTTGATGATGTTATAAGGCGCTGTATCAAATGCAGTTATTATTCATTATTATTAATTGGCTGCCGCCTTTTGTCCAAAATGATAAGGTCGATTCACTTTCCACTATATTCTATGAAGCGCTTTGAGACGTCTCAACGACGTGATAAGGGGCTATATCAAATGCGAGGTTTATTATCATCGTCATCACCAGTGGAGAGCAACTTCATTGTGTTGTGGTTTATTAATTGCAGTACTGAGCCCAATAATCACCTCCATCTCCACTCCTGAGCAGGTGATGCACTGTGTAAGTACATGTGCCGGGTGGAGGGGAAGAGCTTCATGGTGAGCCGGGGAGACTTCTTTGTGGACGGGACCAGGTGCGAGCTGGGCAGCTCCGACTCAGCCACTTCGCATGGAGTCTGTGTCGCAGGTCGCTGCCAGGTAACAAGTCTTCACTGCTTCTCAACCTTCATCATGTTACCGCCAGCTGCTCTCTGTGTCACTCCCACTGTCTATTACTCTCGATGTCACTCCCAGTGTCTGATACTCTCTGTTACCCCCACTGTTACTCTCTGTGTCATTTCTGGTATCTGATATTCTGTCACTCTCAGTTTGGATGAAGAAGGCATCTCGTCCTATCTGATCTTATCCTTCCAGAACACACCCTCTTCCATCCTCCCCAGCACAGCACCGAACTGCTTTCTAAATGAGCCCCAGATTCCTGGCCTCAATCACCCTTCCTAGCAACCAGTTCCGGTTGTTAATTCCCCTCTGGTAAAGAAAAACTACCTGGTGTCTGTCCTGAAATTGGAACTCTAAACCTAGTTCCTTTTGTCCTACTGTCTTGATGCAATTGTTCCGGGTTTAGCTTTTCAATCCCATTTAAAATGTAATACACCTCTGTGAGATTCCCTCTGAGGCATCTTCTTTCGCGACTGAAGAGTCCTGAGCATGAGGCTCAGTTGCAGTGTATTTGTGTGAATTCTCCGGCAGGTGTTTGGGTGTGATGGCAGGCTGGAGTCTGGGATGGTGCTGGACGTGTGTGGAGTGTGTGGGGGTGAAAACTCCACCTGCAGGGAGCTGTTGGGCTCGTACACAGCAGGAGCTGCCCGAGGTGAGCTCAGACTGTACCCTGTCCCACAGACTGACTCCTGCTAGTCCCTCACTGGCTAAGAATTGCTCGAATGTATGTGTCATAGTACTTAGCTTTATTCTGAAGAAGATGGTAACAACAGTGTGGAGTCCTGTAGCTCAGTGGTTAGAGGACTCGCCTCGAGAGGACCTGGGTTTGATTCCCGGCGGGGCGAAACGTTGGGCAGGTTTCCTTACTCCACACGCTTCTGTTTGTACGAACGTGGTCGTTAGTCGATTGGCAGATTGTGTTTCCGGTGGTAATAATTCCATCAAAAAAAATCCACAATTCAATCCACAACTGTTCATGGGACACTGCTGAGCGCAATTGGCAGTCACTTCACTTTACAGTATATCCTGTGAAGAGTTTTCAGGCTTCTCGAAGAGGTGATGAGGCGCTATATCAAATGCCAGGATTATTATTATATTATTATAACAGTCAGCATGGCGCAGTCGTAGATTGTGGGTTCAAGCCCCACATAGCTGACACTCCAATGCAGGAGATAACATGGTTTGGTTCCCCACTTGTATAAGATGACACTGACATTGCTTAACTTTGTGTTGGCAGAGTATGTGACCTTCCTGACTGTGCCCCCGGGTTCCACTAGTGTCCATGTCTCCAACAGCAAGTCCGTCTATTCTCATCTGGGTAAGAGGTGAAATGTCTCTTTGTTCTTTCCCTCGTTTATCTCTTGAAGGTGCTGGGAGATGCTAATCAAATGGCCATTCAGGTGTGGAGTCCAGGCAGCGCCTGTCAGCAGGGCATTTGACCATAAGGGCATCCCAGCCCCCAGCTGTTCCTCACCTTTCCAGCAGGAGGTCTCGGGATAGGGAACCCTGGCTGATTTCCTCCTCCCCAACCCAGGGGCAGGAATTGTGGCCCCGGCAGCTGAGGATGTGATGAGAGAAATGGATAGTGAGATTAAGAAACATCCGTGCACGGGCTTGCCTCTCGCTATCTCCGATCTCCTATGTTCCTGCTGCCCTGGTCATTCTCTCCCCTTCACCAACTCTGGCCAGCTTCAAGCCCACTGTAGGTGGGGGGGGGGGTCGACCTTTTCAGCTGCCCCTACGCTCTGACACTCTTCAAAATCCTTCCATCTCGTGCTCTCCCTCTCGTCCTTCAAATCCACCTAAATTTATATTTCTGTGACTGCACTTTCAATAACTTGTCCCCTACCACCTCCCCCCGCCTACAAAAAGTAAAATCCTGTAAAGCGCTTTGAGACGTGTCAATGACGTGGTAAGGCACCAAGTCTAATGCAAGGATTATCATTATTATTGTATAATGAAAGGCACAGGAGCACCTGCTGACCCCTACTTGTTTACCCATAGCCCTGAAGGTTAAAGGTCAGTATTTGGTAGCTGGAAAAGGCAAAATATCGTTAAATGTCACTTACCCATCTCGTCTGGAGGACAACAGGATGATGTACAGATTGTACCTGACCCGGGAGAACTTCCCCCATTCGGAAGAGATCATTATCCCGGGCCCCACAAACGAAACTATTGAAATACAGGTAAACAATAACGTAACTCCTTCCTTGCGAAACAGAACACTTGACTGACCTGAGCGACACAGTCGGTCGAATGCTATTGTGCTTTCCCTGCTGGAACTCCAGCTTTGAACCCAGAGTGGCCTAACAGTCTGACAGCCTCCCCACTCGCCCCCTCTAAGCCCAATTTGAATGTATTCTGGGGAGCTTGGGTCGTGGACACATAAATACAAGCGAATTTCAACAGGAGAGCTTTCTGACAGGCGCATATCCCAAGGAGTACCTGATCAAAACAGATTCTAAACTTGATCTTAGCCAAAAGGCCTTATCTAAATTGTACTCTAGCTGACTTGGGAGTCCTGGATGCGACGGTGTAGAGGGAGCTTTGCTTTATCTCTAACACGGGTGTAACACTGACACCTCTCACTCTCCTGTTGTGATCCAGGACTGTGTGTGGGGAGCTTTCTGTATGATGTGGATTCCTGTTGTGTGGTGACGCAGCACATTGGAGTACACTTCCTGACAGAGTGGGTTTGACTGAGCAGCCTGACCCTATCTCCCCGGTGTGCACCATGCACTCTGGCTCTTGAGTCCCCTCACCCCAGAACAGCCTCTCCACCTCATATTAAAACCCACTACGTCCACTGACTGTACAGCACGTGCTGTGTATCGTGGCCTCCATCCCACACAAAATGAGCCGTTCTCTTTCATTTCAGGTGTATCGGAAGTACAGGCCGGAGTATGGAGATATTGTTAATCCCAATATCACTTTCAGTCTCTACATTCCCAAGAACCAGAGTGTTTACACCTGGATTCCTGTCACTCAACCTTGTTCAGCAACTTGTGGTACAGGTAAACTGTCTGACATTTGCATTCAGCTAACAGTTCACTTCAGGATTTCAGTTATTCCCGGTATTTCCTGCTCTTTATTCAGTACAGTGAGGGTCACTCATTGTGTTACTCTCCTTCGGATAGACGTTAATCTGAGGTCCCTGTTAATCTGAGGCTTGTTCAGGTGGACGTTAAAGATCCCATGGAACTATTCGAAAAGAGAATGGAGTTTCTCTCTCGCGGTGTCTTGGCCAATAATCTCCCCCAAAAATCAGTCACTCACACCATGGCTTTGTGGGACATTGCTTGTACAACTGGCTGCCGCGTTTCACCCACAAAATACACAGTATATCCTGTGAGGCGCTTTGGGATGTCTCAACAATGTGATAAGATGCTATATCAAATTCAAAAATGATTATTGTTAGTGCGAGTCACTGTTTATTCACAAGGTGAGGGGCACTCACAGTTTAACTGTGGTATTGCTAACAGTGTAAATAGGGCCAAAGCTGCTGACAGTGTTTGTTGGACCTGTTGCAGGTGTTGGGAGGGTACAGTATATTTGTGCTGACGGTCAGACAGAGGAAGAAGTGGATACACAGCACTGCTCTGAGACACTGCAGCCCCCTGCACGCCTGGAACTTTGCTCCACCACACCCTGCCCTCCAGGGTAAGATCCTGAGAATGATGATGGGCGAAAATATAACAATCATTTAACAATCTGTGGAGAGTATAATTTTCTTTTACTTCCTCTCGCTCTCTCTCTCAATCTATTACACATCATGTTTGTACATTTCATCTGTATCCCTACTCTCCGTGGTGTGCTCTGTACCACTCCTGTGTTACTGTGGTTTAGTTGGTATGAGTGTGGCTTCAGTAAGTTTCAAAGAGGTTCAGTCTGTCTCAGTCTCTCTCAATCTGTGTTAGCGTAGCTCAGTTTTTTAAAACCACTGGCCTAAAATTTAAGATAATGCAGAACGTAGATGAAAAATTCTGAAATCCAATCTTAATTTGGAAGCAAGTTTCTTTTTGAAGGCCTGCCAAAATAAGGCTGAGTTCAAATGTTTTCCAGACTTAAATTTGAAGAGAATAGTCTGAAGGAAGGTGGAGTGGAGTGTCCTGGCCAACATGATATTGGTCGAACACCTCAAAGCCTTTCAGAGAAGATGGATGAGGGAGAATTTAGAGGTGTTGACCAAAGGCAAGGTACAAGGGGGAATGATTTCAAGGGGAATTTGAAGGAGAGAAGATCAAAGGGAAAGGATTTGGGGGAGAGAGTTCCAGAGAATAGGGGCATAGTAACCAAAGTCTCATCTAGTGATGCTGTGTTGTAGCTGGCTGTGTTAATAATGTCTTGCCTTACTTTGACCCCTGCATTCATCTGTTCCTGTTGTTGATCCTGGCACGTGCAGGTGGGAAGTCGGGCCGCAGGGTCCCTGCTCAGTGACGTGTGGTGGAGGATGGAGGGAGCGGGACATGCACTGTGTGAGAAGGGAGGGACGTAAGGAGCTCAGAGTCGCTGATCTTGAGTGCGGCAGCATTCCTAAACCAGAGTCTGTGCAAAAGTGTAACACCCAGGACTGTCCTGCCAGGTAACCCATCCAGTGCCGCACTGAGTGCTGATGTAACTTCCTGCATGCAGAGAAGACTATTGATGTCAATTTCTTCACGGAGATGTCAGTGGCACTTCCTGCACACAGCACGGATGTGACAGACTGGGAGTGAGTGAGGGACTGGGAGTGAGTTGACAGAGAAGAGATGTGGGTCCTTGAATAAGGAATTCCTGTGCCTGATATGGTGACTGTTGCCGACAGTAAGTACACAACCACTCAGGCTGCTCTCCCTGTCTCCCGGCTACAGGTGGAGGGTTTCGGCTGCGGGCCCATGCTCTGCTTCCTGTGGGGTTGGAGTTGCCCAGCAGGCTGCCACCTGTGTCCAGATCATCAATGGAACAGACGTGGAGGTCAACGAGACATGGTGCGGAGAGACAGAGAGGCCGACCGTGCTGACCCAGTGTATTGTCAGCATCTGTCTCTCCGAGCTGGGCACAGAGTCCTGGCCAGGGGCAAGTATTGGCTCCACATCCCCAATGATCGTGTATGTGTGTGTCTGTCAGTGTTCACTTGCCCTTTCTTGTGTGTATCTATGTTTGCGTGTGCATTTGTGTGGAAGTTGTGTGTTCATGAATTTGTGTGTGAAAGAGTTTGCGTGTGCCTGCCTGCAAGTGTGTACATGTGCTTATGTTTTTTCATGCCCCTACTCCGTGGGGGACATTGCTGGAACAGACGAGCTTACCTAATGGATTCATTTGCTTACCTAACAGTCGCTACACTTCAGAGTAATTCATTTACACTGTTGTGTGCATTTGGCTGCTGTATTTCGCCCACAATATATACAGTCAATTCACTTTACCGTATATTCTGTGAAACGCTTTTGAGACAACTCAACAACGTAATAAGGCGTTATATGAAATGAAGCAAGATTATTATTATTATTATTATTATTTTGTGACGTGCTTGGCAATGTTTGCATGTGAAAGGATGATTATTCCTCACTGATATCTTGGAGTTTCCGGTGAAAGGCACTCAAGGAGAGGTGTCACGTGGAACGGGAGTGCCGAGTTGCCAGTGGAAATTGAGGTAATCATGATTCCTTTTCTATTACAGGTCTCGAAAAAGTTGGGGAAGGAAGTGGAAACCCCGGGGAATGGGACGAGCAGCCCAAGTGTCAGTGTGGGGAGCCAGACCTTCCTCTGGGTGCCACGAACAGGCCCCTGCTCCGCCTCCTGTGGGGAAGGTCTGGGTTACATACCAATGCTCAGTGCATGTTACCACATCCAGTGCAACAGTGACGTCATCCCACTGCCTGTAGCCTCACACATTTCAAATATGTTGAACAATCCCGATTCTGATCCCAATCCCCAGCTCGGGTGCAAACCCTTCACTGTCCAACGCCTTAGGACGTTCTCCCGACGTGAAAGGTGCTATGTAAATGTAACTTGTTGTTGTTGGACAACTGTCCTTTCCTCTCTGGCTCACACAGGGTAATTCCATGGGCGCCCTCTTTACCTCACCTCGGTGGCCATTCTGTATGTGTCAGTGTGAGTGTCGCTAGGGCTTTGAACACAGGGGCATCAAAGCCCGATCCTCTCCCCACTCCCGGCCCCGCCGCACTGTCCAGCAGGGGATCTGGATGGCAATCGGGAGTGGGGGAACCCAGGCTGATTTTCCTCTCCCTAAACCCAGGGGCATTGAGACCTTCTGCAGCCTGGGCTGAGCAGGTGGGTGACTTTGTCCCCTTTCTCTACAGGAGTAGCAGATCTCAGCTACATGTGCGTGGATCGGGAAACCCACGAGGAGACACAGCCGGAACACTGTCTGCAAACCTTCCAGGCCCAGGTCCATCAGGTCCACTGCACAAACCAACCCTGCCCTCCTCAGTAAGTCAATCACTGCCTGAAACACCAGAGAACTCCAGGTCCACACACTTATTCCCTGCTCTTCACGCGATTCTATATTCACCACCCCACCTCCACCCCAGAAAAGGCAAACACTTGGTTTTATTTCCCCCTCAATTTCTCTCCCCTCTTCTCCTGAGGCTGTCTAGTCTCAGACTGCTTAAAAAAAAAAGCTGGGTTAAAATTGAAGGTGGATCAGCTTTGTGGATAATTCTTCAATCCTTGTTTCATTTAAAGAATTTAAATTGTTTCACCTACTTTTTGAAGAACTGCAGGAAGAAACGGCTTCTGAATTGAGACTGAATTCAAGAATTATCCACAATTCTGAGCCACCTTAAATTCTTGGACCAAAAATGGTCTTTAAATGCCTGCGACCAGGAGTGAGAAATTCCACCAGGTTTGTTCTGGTATTTCAGAGCGTGAGGAGCACTGAGGTGATCTTTTACTGAGTTCAGGCTAAAGCTCTGTGCTGGAGAATGTCAGCCACCTGATCTTTAATAACTTTGTTCCCAGGTGGAGGTACGAGACAGACACCTGCAGTGTAACCTGCGGAGGGGGCGTGAGGCGGAGAATCCTGTACTGCGCCAGGGACGTGGGGCTGCGAGAGGAGCTGGCTCCCGACGGTGACTGTCTCCATTCCCCTCGGCCTGCAGATCACCAGCCCTGCAGCCTGCACCCCTGCCCGGCCAGGTCTGTAACTGGCGAGAGGTCACCCACTGGCCTGTCATACACATGCACCCATATGCACCCACACACAGACACGTAGGATGGTGGAAGGCGAACTGGATGGATCTTGGTCTTTTTTCATCTAGCATTTCTGGTGGTGCTGTGTTGGGTGAGTGGGTGGGGGGCTGGGGCTGTGTGGGGTGAGAGGGGGGAGCTGTACAGAGTTGGGGGAGCTCTCTCTGTGCTGGGAAGGAGAGAGAGAGGAGGGTGGTGGAGTGACTGTGGCTGGTGCCGGCAGGTGGAGGGTGTCGGAGCCGCGGCGATGCTCTGCCGTGTGCGGGGCGGGGGTCGCGGAGAGGAGCGTGACCTGCCTCCAGTTTCAGAACGGAAGCGACGTGGAGGTGAACAGAGCGCTGTGCGGGGCTGAGACCGAGCCTCCGGCCATCGTACCCTGTCTGGTCAACATCTGCCCCTTTGGCTTGCAAGCATCCAATTGGTCTGAGGTCAGTGTCCCGAAGAGATCTTTGCTGATCATGTGTCCAGAGCTTATCACATCTTTGAGACATCTCAAAGCGCTTCGCGGGATAAACTGTAAAGTATTGTGAGTGCGTGTTTTGCGGGTGAAACACGGCAGCCAATTGCACACAGCAGCGTCTCACAACAGTCGTGGATTGAGTAACCACATTATTATTATTATCTTGTTTTTTTGAAGGGTTAAAGCGCTATATCAAACGCTAGGATTATTGTTATATGTGGGGAGTGATCAGAAACATTATGATTTCCACCTCCCTAGCCCAAGCAGATGGAGTACATTCACGTATAAATTATTCACAGTCCCTAGACATCGCATTCCTGAGAAGTGCTTGTGTGAATTATTGTTTTTATCCGCAGTGAGTATTCTTTTTCCTTCTCCAGTGTTCGCATTCCTGTGGAATCGGGATCCGCACCCGGCAAGAGCTGTGCCTTAACCTGGACTCCCAGCAGCCGGTGCACCGCAGCTTCTGCGACCACCTGCCCACCTTGCTCACCACACAGTCTTGTGACGCTGGACCCTGCCCCACGCCAGGCACCTCCACACCACCGGCTCCCACCACCTCGACCACCCAGGCACTGCCCGCAACAACACAGCCACCCGCTGCTGCACCACCACCAGCCAATGGCACGCAGCGTCTCACGCAACAGGGTGGCACAGATACCAGTTACGTGATAATACTGTACGTTATACACAGCCCTCGACCACAAACACATCTCAGGTCAGCACGGAGTAAAGCTCCCTCTACACTGTCCGTTCACACTCTCAGGTCAGTGACAGCACATTAGAGGTAGAGTGATGCTCCCTCTACACTGTCCGTACACACTCCCAGGTCAATTCCAACAGAATTTAAGATGTGATTTCTGTAGCTATAATAAGATATAGAGAATAGGGTTTAAAAATCTTTGAATAGTTCATTACAAGTTACTGGTTGCTGGGCGTCTTGTGCTCTGGCCTTGATAACTAGTTGTGTGTGTTTCTGCTCCAGGTGTGTGTGGGTCGCTGCTTCTGAGCGAGTCGGGGATTCTGAACCTGACGGGTGTACAGCAGCGGGAATGCTGGGTGTCCATCGGCCGGCCACTTGGGGAGGTGGTAACCGTGCGGATTCTGTTCAGCTCGTTCACCTGCACTGCACGTAAGAGACGCTTGCACCCACCCATGTCCCATTTTTGCTCTTACGGGCCTTGCTCTGAAAGTAATATGTTTCCCTACTCCACACAACTCTGTTTGCCTCGCAGTAAGTAGGAACCCAGTTGTTAGTCGATTGGCAGATCGCTTTCCAGGGGTAATAATCCCTCCAAAAAACAAAATAAATTGGTTGCTCAATCCACAAATGTTTGTAGGAAACTGCTGGGCTCACATAGAGGTACCAGGTGTGGGGGGCACCCACAGAACTGCACGAGCGAATGCCCAGCTACGGAGGGGAGATAAACTGGTATAAAAGCCGGGTTGAAACCTCCGAGGGTGAAGCCAGGAATTCATAGAATGTTACTGTGTAACTCTCTTGTAACGTGCTGACACTCACCCACTTTTCTCGTTGGTTGAAGGAGATTTCCTGACCCTGATGGGGCGTTTGCTGTGGTGGAAGACCTGCTCACAACTGACGGGCTTCACGCTCACGTCCATCACCAACACGCTCACAATCAGACAGCGGAGAGCGAACCCCGGTGATGGTGTGGTACTTCAGTACTCCAGCAGCTTGGCATCACGACGCTACCACAGAGGCAAGTCCCATCCTATCACGCTCCCCCAACTCTCTGTCTGATGGATGTGGGGCCTTTGCTGTCTCAGCTTCTCCCAATCAGTCTGGACTGTGAGCTCAGAGGCCCAATGTGGGGCTCGAACCCACGACCTTCTGACCCAAAGACAAAAGCATTCTTAACTGAGAGAAACTCCCACCCACTACCTCAGAGCTTTACGAAGCTGCTCTGTTCCCCCTCCAACAACCCCCACCCAAAGTTGCTCCCTATCTCTGACTGATTAAAACCTCATCAACCTGTCCGCTCCCTCCGCTCTACAGGCACTGCCCTGCTTCAGGTTCCCCATCCTGCCCACTCCACTATCGATGGTGAAGTGCTTTGAGCCCCCCCATTCAGCCCAGCACCAGCATTTCATCAACCCACTGAGTTCCCGTCAGCGCCCAGGGACATTGACAAACTGGGTATGTGGTGCAGCAATAACCTGGGTGGTTAACCAGTCCTGGTTGGTGGTTGTTGCAGAGTGCGATGTGCAGCTGTACGGACCGAAGGGTGTGATCATCAGCCCTGCCCACCCCTACGTCAAGGGCAAAGCCTGCCGCACCTTCATTAACGTTGCCCCGACCAGCCGCATCGCCATCCGCGTGCTGTACCTCAGGCTGCAAGTGGGCATCAACGGCACCTCGTCCGATTACATCCTGGTGAGTCAGCATTCTCCTCCTCACAGAACTACACAAAGCAGGAGGCCATTCCTCCCTCTGTATCTCTGTCACCTTTGCTCTTCCAATCAGCTCATCCATCTTACTCCCAATCCCCTGCTCTTACCCTGCCCCCTCTAATAATACCCATCCTCCGCATGCACCAGTCTCATTCCGTTATAAATGTCCCTTTCGACCCACGGCAAGTCGTTCCCCACAACCCTCTAGGGGGAAAGATTCTTCCAAACTTCCCCTTTCCTGCTCCTGGTTATAATCTCAAATTCACACCCTCTTGTCCTCGAATCGTCTGCCAACAGAAACAGTTCCTCACCATTTATGCCCTTCTGTACACACTGACTCTACAACAGGGAGATTGCAGCTCACCCTCGTGGCCAGTTTTCATGTGTGAGCTCAGACTGAGCTTCAGGTCTTGAATCTTGGACATCACAGCCCTATTCCTGTCCATACCCAACCCCTACGCAGTCCCAATACTGGACAGCCATCAGAAGAGGGAAACCTGACCCCAGGAGCTTCGAGGTCAATTGTAGCCCAACTGATGGCTCATCTGAGATCAGTAAATCAGCACTGACCAGCAGTTGACCCTGAGCTCTCTCTGTTTGTCTCAGTGCTGTGCCAGATACGGCCTATAAATATATCAAACCAACTCATCATTCTGTACAGGGTCATATGTTTGACAACAAAAACACTTGATACTTGACAGCAATTGCTTTTGAAGCACTTTAAGATTTTGAATGTTCTAACTTTTGAATCAGACACGAGGATTGTTATTACTTTCTTTATTTTTAGATCAAAGACGTAGGTAGTCAGAAATACTCCGCCTACCGGGGGAATCACATCTTTTTGTGGCAGTCCATGGGCAGCCGAGCTGAAATTGAATTCCACGGGGAGTTTGGCTTCCGAGCCCTATTTTGGACTGTGAGCCCGAGAACCCCCAGCAGAGCAGCCAACTGAACCACAGCTCTCAACTCACAGCTCTCAACTCTAACCCACCAAATCCTAACACCTTCCGCTCAGGACCTACTTAGGACCCGTCTGGGCATCTCCAAGAGAGACCGAACTTCAACAACAAGACTTTACCATCAGTCGAACACTGGACAATTGAAATGATGACCTCTATGTGATCCTCACAGTCACATAATGGGTCTCTCTGGGGCATTATTTATCTTGGTTTCATTGTAACAGCAGAGCAAGGGTGAACGACATGTGAGTTTGGGGGAGGGAGAGTTTTCAGTCAATTTGCAATTTGTTTGGTTTTGAAGAGATTCCAAGTGGATTCACGCTAGACCCAGAGACAAAAGGGAAGTTTGTGCAAAGCGCCTGGATGAGAGGTGCAAACAATCCCGAGTAGAGAGTAAAATACTCGGGTATTGTCAATGTGTTGAGCTCAATTACAGTCACTGTTCTGTATCTTTTTATATTCTTCGTGCCTCATTGTACATTGCAACATGTCTGTCCAGCATTTGAAGAGAAATTATTGTGGGGAATATATACTAGGTGGTGATTTTTATTAATTGGACTCCGTCCAGGCAGAGAGGGTTAGCTCAGTCTTTAAGTGTTAGAAGCATCTGTTTATTTTATGGGGCAGGTTTGCCTCTCCCTGGGCACTGGTCCCTCCAATCCAACCTCCACCCCACACCCACCACTACAACTGCCCTGGTCACAAACGCCAACAACGTTCTCTTCGTCTGTGATAAGGGCTTGACCTGCCTCCTTATTTTTCTCAATCTCTCCGCTGCCTTCATTACGGTCAACCACTCCATCCTCCACCATCTCTCCCCTCAGCTTCACCTCGACACTTCTCTCCAGGTTTCACCCTCACCTATCTCACCAAGTCCTGCGGCTCAGCGGTCAAGAGCGCTCGCCTCGCGAGCGAGAGAGACCTGGGTTCGATTCCCCTGGAGGGGTTTCCTTACTCCGCACATCTCTGTACACTTAGCAGTAAAGTCGGAAACCTGGTTGTGAGTTTATTAGAGGATCGATTTTAAAAATAAATAAATGGGTCACTTCAATCCACGACTGTTTGTGGGGGGGACGCCGCCGTGCGCAATTGGCCGCCGCGTTTCGCCCGCGAAGTATACAGTCGATTCACTTTAGAGTATATTCTGTGAAGCGCTCTGAGACGTCTGGAAGAGGTGATAAAGCTCTCCATCAAATGGGAGGACCATTATCAGCCTCAAGTTTGTTTACGTGTGTGGCTCCGCCCATCGAGGACGAGGTGGTCCCGCCCATTGAGGTCAGCGGGAGCCCTGTCGCGGGTGACTTGCGCTCAGCTCACGTGCCTCTGACCTCACCGGTGGTGGCCGGAAGTTGTGAGGTGAGTTGGCACCGGAAGTGGAGGAGCGCTCGGCGGGCGGTGAGGAAGATGAGCTCCGCGCCGCCGCCTCCCGGGTCGGGCAGCGCCAGCGGGAACCGGGATGAGATGACCTGGTGGTATCGGTGGCTGTGCCGAGCAGCCGCGGTGCTGGGAGGAGTGTGTAAGTGTCCCGGGGGGGGGGAGGAGGGGCGGGGTGAGAAGGGGTGGGGGGAGGGTGGAGGGGGGGGGTGGGGGGAGGGTGGAGGGGGGGTGGGGGGGAGTCCTGTGGCTCAGTGGTTAGAGCACTCGCCTCACAAAACAAGAGAGAGAGAGGGAGAGAGAGAGCGCCGGGGACACTCAGCAGGTCAGGCAGCATCTGTGGAGAGAGGAGAGTGAGTCAACGTTTTGGGTCCGCGACCCCTTTCGTCGGGACTCGCCTCGCGAGGCCCGGGGACAGGGGCCACACCTGAGGCAAGTTTCCTCGCTCCGCACGCGCTCTCTCTCTCTCACGCGCTCTCTCTCTCTCTCTCTCTCTCGCGCCGGCGCGCGCACCTCTGTTTGCCGACGGGAAGTAGGAACCCGACCGATCGGTTCCTGGGAGTAATAATCCCTCCAAAAAATACTGATGCTAATGCGGACGCTCGATCCCAGACCGTTTGCGGGACGCTGCCGTGCGCAATTGGCTGCCGCGTTCCCCCCCCCCCCCACCGCACACAAAATGCACAGTCACTACACTTTACGGTCTGTTCCGTGAAGCGCTTTTGAGACGTCTCGACGACGCGATAAGGCGTTGTATCAAATACGAAGATTATTGTTTGTTGTTGTTGCTGTTGTTACGGGCTGAGAGCCTGGGAAGGGCTGAGGTGGTTTGGGGATCCGGTGTCGGCCTGGCTCAGGGCGGGGTGGGGACTTTGAGCTCAGGATCTAGGCTGGCACTCCGGTGCGGTGCTGGGGAGAGTTGTGTGGTCGGGGGTACCGTCCTTCGGCTGAGACCGACCTCCCATCTCCCTGGATGTTAAAGGTCCCGCGGTGCCGTTGGAAAAGAGAAACGTTTCCTGGAGGATATCAGTCGATCACCTCGTGGTGGGTCATTGCTGCGCGCAAATTGTCTGCCACAAACACACAGTCACTACACTTGAATGTTAATAATAATACTTACATTTGATATAGAGCCTAATCAGATCTTCCAGACGTCGCAAAGCGCTTCACAGAATATTACTGTAAAGTGAATTGACTGTATGTTTGTGGGTGAAACGCGGCAGCCAATTGCGCACAGCGGCGTCCCACAAACAGTCGTGGATTGAAATGACCAATTCATTATTGTTTTTTTTTTCTTGAGGGATTATTATTAGGCGTGTGGAGTAAGGAAAGTTGCCCAAGGTTTCACCCCCTGCCGGAATCGAACCCAAGTCTCTCGCTTGTGAGGCAAGTGCTCTAACCACTGAGCTACAGGATTCCACCAATGTTTAGAAATGGCTTGAAGTTGCTTGTTAACTACACACTGAGAGACTACCAGTATGAGACCCGTTCCTATCTCCCTGCTTCCACATGGTGAATACTGAGCCCAGGCTGCGTTACTACCAATTAGCTGCTGCCAAATACATTTGCTGCACTTTATATAAATCCTGTGAAGTGCTTTAAGAATCTCATCCCATGAAACGTGAATGGCACTAGCAAATGCAAGGATTATTATTAACACTTGCAGCAGATGCAATTGTGAAGCAGCTGATGTAACTGTAATAAGTCGATCAATAATTCAGCACAGTTGGAGGATTGGAAAACTGAGCTCTTCACATACCTTGTAAGTGACACCTGTTTGTGTGGTGTGCTGGTTGAGACCTGATTTTCATTAAAAGAGATGAGAACGACGAGTGCAGCCTTCGCCTGTTCTCAGCGCAGTTCTGCAGGACAGAGTCCAAGCAACCCTCTCACCCTGGTACCAATAAGAATCAACAATTGAGACTGATGCCCCTTGTATCTTCTAGTCACTACCCTCTGGAGTCGTGCAGACCCATAATACTGCATTTAGGGGCGCCCACCATCACGAGTTCAGCCAGCTGTGTAAAGTGCTTTGGGAAGTCCTCCCAACCTGAAAGGTGTTCCATAAATAAATGTATATTGTATGATTCCTTATAGATCTGTGAGACCCCGTCACTCTCTGCCTTTTCCGTTAGAGCAGTTGGGGGACTGCATTGGCCACTTCTCTGAGCATTTTTCTGTCTATCGATGTTGTCCTGAATGTTGTCCTTATACAATCCACTTGAGAGAAATGACTGTTTCTCTGTGTGTCCACAGCCTGTGCAATTTCTGGAATCTGGAACTGTGTCACAGTTAATCCCCTGAATATCGCTGCTGGGGTCTGGATGATGTGAGTCTCATTCATTTTCTTACTCAATGAAACTAACTCATGCTGTAGCTGACCTGGGAGTGTGGACGGACAGTATAGAGGGAGCTTTACTCAGTGTCTAACCTGTGCAGTGACTGACTCTAGGCTTCAGGTGTATGGTCTGTTTTGTTAACCCGCAGGTTGAATGCCTTCATCCTGTTTCTCTGTGAAGTTCCGTTCTGCTGTCAGTTCATTGAATTTGCGAATGCTGTTTCCTCGAGAGCAGATAAACTGAGATACTGGCAGAAGGCGGCTTTCTACTGCGGGTAAGTGCTCCGTGGTTTAGTGGGGTCGAAGGTTGTATAGATGACAAATTATTTTTAAGTGATTGCTCTGATAAACCGGCACAATCACCCTCATCCTGGCCCCACGCTGTCCGTCTGATTGACGCTCGTGTGTAACTGCCCCTGAAGTCCTGGGGAGGGAGAGACTTCAGCTGGGAAAATTAATTTAACTTCCACAGAGTGACCGACAGGTTGGAGTTGGAGCGAGGGACGAGAGAGGAAATCAGCAGAATTGAGGGATACTCCCCTGAGTCGGGGAGGAGAAAATCAGCCAAGCTTTCTGTTACAGATGGCAACTGGATACCGGGCACGGGTGGGTGCCGGGGGGGGTGTTGGGTGTAGAGAAGATCTGCGATGTCCTGACACACTCTGGCTGGAGGAGCTCGCTGACACACTCGAGTCTCACACGTAGGAAAGTCATGCGAGCGAGGTATCAGATGTGCCTGTCAAACTGTCCCTGAGACGAGCAAAAATGGATCAAAGCTCAGCGTCGCCACCACAAGACTGGCCGCAGTTTACTGACTAACACAAATGTTTCTCCCATTCACCCAGGATGGCGATCGTCCCAATATTCCTGAGCTTTTCCATCACCACGCTGTTTGGCAACGGCATCGCGTTTGCCTCGGGGGTGTTATACGGACTCGCGTCTCTGGGCAAAAAGTAAGTTCAGATTCACATCACTTGCCTCGTTCATGGGGAGAGGGGTCGATTCTGGTTGTGGGGGCGGAGGAATTGTTCAGTAACTGAACCAGCGCGTGTGCTTGTATGTGTGCGTCTGTCTGTCTGGTGTAACTGTCTGTCTGTTCAATGCCAGAGACTAACCTCAAACTGTCCGTTCATAAAGGAAACGCACACATTTTTGAGTTTATAAAACTTCTTTACTAAATAAGCTACGCAGACCAACGACCTGGCTGCAAGTCAGGAGCTGGAGGAGAGCTCCCTCCTAGTCTGACCGCTCCCGGCACCCCCCACCCACCCCCACTCCGCAGCATCCAGACATTAAACTTTCCAAAATTGGTGGCTCACACTGCTGTGCGCAAACTGGCTGCCCAGGTTTCACCCACAAAGTACACAGTCAATCCACTTTACAGCATAAGCTGTGAAGCGCTTTCAGACATTTCAACGACGTGATAGGGCGCCTATATCAAATAGAAGGATTATGTTATAATTATTATTATTAATTCTTCCCCTCCTCCTTCCCCTGCCACCCCCGCTTAGAGGTGACGCTGTTTCCTACGCAAAGCTACAAGAGAAGAGAGTGGCTGACGAGGAGAAGCTGACCGGTGGTACCGACATCGAAATGCCGGAGCAGTGACCACGGCCGCCCCTGGGCTGGGTCCGTCCATCTTCCCGGATGTTGTGAAGCGAGCAGAGAGCCGAGCCGAACCTTGCTAAAGTCGGCTCACGGCAAGCCGCTCTCCACCTCCGATCACAACGTGCAATGAATTATTTAAAGGGGAAAGAGGCAATGCTTTGTTTAAGAGAATCCTTTCGTACTAGTTCACAACTTGCAATAGTTTTATTTTTCATTGACGTTAGTTAGAGAATAACGGATTTTTTAAAGCGCTGTTAATCTCGTTCTTGATTCTAAACTGCGTGCGTGTGTGTGTGTGAGGTCTCCTCCCACTTTGGTTTCAGGTGTGCTAGACACTATACTGATGATTATTTATGGAAATAAGGGAACTGGGTCGGCTCAGGGCTATTGTGTTGCTGGGTTTTTAATGGGATTGAGTTTCTCAGCTGCACTGAAGCACAAATAATACTGCGTTTACACTGGCCGAGTGGGTACTGTCGCCAAGGCCATTTCTAATCAGGTAATTACATTTAGGGATCTCATCCTCTGCTCTTTCTAAAGCTGCCTGTACATTGGATGTTAAATGGAGACAACAGCAACAAAACTACATTTGTACAGTGCCTTTCACGTCGGGAGGACGTCCAAAGGTGCTGGATAATCAATGTTTCGGGGAGAGAGAGAGAGGGCACGGAACAGGGTCACAGCTTTCATGGCTTTCCACAGCTTTCCAAGGGCTCTGGGACACTACACTGCGTAAGAGGTGCTATATAAATGCAAGTTGTTATTGATTAAAATGTTGCTGTAAGATGGTCAAACCTGTGAGCGGGATGAATGACCTGACCCTCTCCTGATAGCCTCACACAGACGCTTGTGTCTTGGGATTGTGACCTGCTTTCCTCCTCCTCCAGCTCTCCCCGTTGTCTCTCTGCACCACAGCCTGCGATGTCAGAGTTCATCACTTTGTCCTGTCTATGTTCCCATTTTCCTGATCGGAAACAAAATGATTCCCAGCAAAGAAAGCTCTTTTTGTCTCTTTCCCGAAGCACTTAGTCAGTATTCCCCCCAAAAGGAAGTAGCTTCAGGTGCGGTGTTCAGTTGTCTTGGGTGTGAACTGTGCTCTGATTTTAGCTCCTTTTGGTGCCTCATCTTTTTGCTGCTACTTTTCCTGTGTCTCTAACCCACTCCCCATCCCCTCACTGACATAAGCACACAAGGGCAGGAGGCCCAAGGTGCAGGAGAGGGTAGTGGTTGGCTGGTGCCCTGTCTAGGGTAAGAATGATGAGAAGGAGGAAGAAGGAGATGTGACTGATGGAGGAGAGGTTTCAGTCATGGGGTCTGTGGGTTCTGAGTGACTGGGGAGGAACAGCATGGCTCCATGGGAATTGTTTGAGGTACGAAAACCAAAGCAACTGCTTTAATTATTGTGTATGTCAGCTTGGCTCAGTGGTAGCTCCCTCTCGGTAGTCTAAGCTCACCCTCCCAACGCAGTACTGGGGGTGTGCTGCATTATCGGAGGTGCCATCCTTCAGATGAGACGTTAAAGCGAGGTCCTGTCCGCCTGTTCAGGTGGACGTTAAAAATCCCACGTTACTATTCGAAAAGAGAAGGGAGTTTCTTTCTCCCGGTGTCCTGGCCAACAATCACCCAAATAAAATTGGTCAGTCACTCCATGGCTGTTTGTGGGACATTGCTGTGTGCAAACTGGCTTCCACATTTCACCAACAATATACACAGTCAATCCACGTTACGGGAAATCCTGTGAAGCGTTTTGAGACGTCTCGACTACATTAATAATAATACTTGCACAGATCATTATCATTAATGAAGAGACAAATTTCTTACATTGAATGGACCTGGTCTCCAGGGTGAAACCAAGTCTGTGCCGTGGCCTGTTAGTGGGCAGGCTAAATTCTCGGAATGCCATTCCTGGACTTGCAGCCTTGCTCTTAGCCCCCCACCACCAACCCCTTCCCCCCCGAATACGTGGAGTCTTCTGTCCATTCAATATGATCAATACCCGGTGGACATCAAAATTATTGCAATAACGATAATGTCAGAGCACTGATGTATGTAAATTGGCTGTCGCACTCACCTATAAGACACTCACTCACTACGCTCTACAGTATATCCTGTGAAGCACTTTGAGACGTTTCAATGATGTGATAAGGGGCTATATAAAATGCAAGGATTATTAACAATTTTTAATTTAACTGATTCTCTCTTTGCTCTCTCGTTCTCTCTCTCTGTCTTGGGACTTTCAACCCCCTGCTTCCCCTCCCTCAGGCTGCATGGACACAAACACACACTGGTTCTGAGCACAATCTGCTGCTCACTCACCTCCCAGACCTGGTTTGTATGCAGCACTCGGATCTCACAGCCAGAAACGTTTACTCAAAAAAAATAGAGACTTTGAGACTGAGAACTTTGAACTCCTCAGTGAGTGAGCAATGAAAGTCCAGTGCGTGCGACCTTGCATTGTTTCACCCACAAAATATAGTCACTCCACTTTACAGTATATCCTGTGAAGCGCTTTGAGACGTCTCAAAGACGTGATAAGGCGCTATAACAAACTCGAGGATTATTTTTGTCTCACTGACTGGGGAAGATAGGCTACTGTATCTGAGCTGCTGCCCACTGGGGCATGACTGAGATTTGGGGAAGGGGAGGGAAAGCAGACAGTTCCTGTGTCTGAACTCTGTGTGTGTGTGTGTGTGTGGAGCAGGGGAGAAAGGATGACACATTTGCCTTAACTGTATATAGAATCCATTCTGAGAGTAGAGAATCATGGTTAGCTCTCCCTGTCCAGTCCCCCATGTCTCGCTCATCACTGACAGGCTGGGCCGGTGCTGCAGGGGTTGTAGTTGTATTTAAGCTGCGCAATTTTCCGTTTGTTGGTGGAGACGGACATTGCTGACCTTTGTACTGTGAAATAAACCACTGAGAATTTACTGCCAGTCTTTGTCTCACCTTCTGCACCTCACCAACTGATCCATTTGTTCCTCTATGTACAAAACCCCAAGCCCCGGATTGGATTCCAGCCTGAACCTCCTTGGTCTATACACTTTGCGGAGTCCTGAAGCTCAGGGGTTAGAGAGGACCTGGGTTGGATTCCAGGGCGAAACGTTGGGCAAGTTTCCTTACTTCACACGCTCCTGTTTATCTAGCAGCAAGTAGGAACCCGGTTGATAGTCAAATCAGAGGATTGCTTTACCGGGCGTAATAATCCCTTCAAAAAAATAATTAGTCATTTGGTCACTCAATCTATGACGGGTGTTTGTGGGACATTGCTGTGTGCAATTGACTGCCGTGTTTCGTCCACAAAATACCCAGTCAATTCGCTTTACAGTTTATATTCTGTGAAGCGCTTTGAGATGTCTCGAAGACGTGATAAGCTGCTCTATCAAATGCAGATTATTATTGTTGATGATTATCGATAATTTACTAAATTTAGCAAACGAGAAAAAGAGAGAAAGTAACTGAATTTCACCCCAAAAAAACATTCCCCGGCTCAACGTCAGGCTCCATTACCGTTAAGCGCTCCGAGACACCGCCCCACATACATAAAGCGTGCTGGATGAATGCAAGTTGGAAAAACAAATCTTGTATTTGTTATAAATTCACAATGATTTTTAGCAGCGTTTAAACATTAATAACTGCTGCATCAAACAGCAGTCTGCAAACATAAATTCCTGGTTCAATTTCAGTTGAGAAGCTTATAATGTTATACGTCTGTCGCATGGACAAAGGTATAACATTATGGGGGCTATAAAAATAGGGGAACGTCCCTTATAAACACTCGCAAACACTTCCAGGCTGTTCGGGAGGTCGTTTTACAATTTGAAGGATGAAAAAAAAATCCATTATTTTACTTTCAATGTAATAAATGTTATTTTTTTTAAAAAAATCAATTATTTTGGACTGTTTTATCTTCGAAACTGAATCACAAAAATAAGAACCATTTAGGGCGTTCAATACTATTTGCGGGACACTGCTGTGCGTAAATAGCTGCTGCGTTTCGCCCACAGAATATACAGTTAATTCACTTGACAGCACATTCTGTGAAGCCCTTTGAGAAGTCTCGGAGACGTGATAAGGTGCTATATCAAATGCAAAGATTATTATCACTGTAATAGCCTTTTCTCATTGGACCATCCACCAGTCTTTTTGTTCCAGCTCCAGAGCACAGACTGGGTATAACATTACTCAATCTTTTGTTAATCGGGACCACACATTTACTTAACGTTAGACGAATGATAACATCATACGGCTATGACAATGCGCCAACTCAATGTGTACAAAACATCCCAAGAACTGCCAGGACCAGCCACCAGAGAAACATTATGCGGATTATATCAGTAGGCAATTTAACCTGATGTGAACCTGACTGGAGAAAGGATTCACAGCCTGCAGAGGGAGCTTTTACTCTGCATCAATCTGTGCTGTCACTGACCTGGGTGTGCTGGACGGACACCGTAGAGGGAGCTTTACTCTGTCTCTAACCCGTGCTGTCATTGAGCTGCGAGTGTGGACAGACACCGTAGCAGGAGCTTTACTCTGTATCTAGCCTGTGCTGTGTGGGAGTCCGTCTGGACAGTACAGTTCAGCAGCTGCGTTGCTGCTCTGAGATGAGTGTCTCATGCTTGTCTTGTTGTTGATATTGGCTGAAAGTATTCCTCGATCTCCTCCAGGGTCAAGCCCATGGTCTCGGGGATGAACAGCGCTGTGAACACCAGGCTGAGCAGGGAGATGGCAGCAAAGAAGAAGAAGGGGACGGAACAACCCAGGTGATGCTGCAGGAGGGAGGGAAAAGGTTAATGTCTGAGACCAGACACCCGTCCGGGAATGCCTGTATCCCGGGAACGCCTGTGTGCTGGGAACACATAGCCGGGAACACCTCGGCCCATAACTCTGGAACTTCTTCCCTCTATCCCTTCGCTTTGCCTTCCCCATCTTGCTCCTGACGACCTTCCATTTCGACCGTGCTTAAGGTCACGCCCCCACAACCCCCATTTCCGGCTCAGCATCACGGTCCACCACTGTCAAATACTCCGGGACGCTACCCTGTGTGGGTGGGGGGGGGGGGTAGGGGCGCTGTATAAACCCGATCTGTTGTTGTGTGCCGGGAATGCCTGGGTGTGAAGGGGCGGAAGTGGACACACAGTGAGAGACTGACCTGCGCTGCCAGGAACTGGTTTGCGATCAGGAAGGAGAGGATCCAGCTGAACAGGACACAGAGGCCAGACACCTGCCCCCGGACCCGAATTGGGAGCAACTCTGAAGTCATCAGCCAGGTGATGGGCCCCCAGCCCAGGGAGTAACCTGCCAGAGACCGAGAGAGAGAGAGCGAGACATGGTCAGAGCCAGGAGAGCAGAGAGACAGGCTCCCAAGAACATTGGGATAAATATCCTCTCGGAACGTTTTATAATAAGAAGAACAACGTTAAGTTAGATTTGAGCCAAGTGTGTTTGGGGGCACGCACCTGTGCCTTGAGGGAGAGGAGGTGGCTGGTGAAACGGTGATCTGCGAGTCAATCCTTACATTTGACATAGTACTATCACATCAGAAAGACATCAGCATTTACTCTAAAGTGCAGTGCACCTCCCAACAATGCAGCACTCCTCCCAGCGAATAATAATCCTTGCGTTTGATAGAGTGCCTTATCACGTCGTTGGGACGTCTCAAAGCTCTTCGCAGGACATGCTGTAAAGTGGATCGAGCTCAGTATCGCTGGGACTTGAACCCGCGACCTTGTGAGGGGGCGAAAGACCGAGCCAGACCCACACCTGGTGAAATGAAGAGGGAGAGGTTTCCGCGCTGGGGTGAATTGTAAACCAGATAGAGGAGCTCTGAGCCTCGCCGTCCATCAACAATCCACTTTATTTGCGGCCATTAGCGTTTGGGGTTTGTGGACGCTTACCGAAAACCATGATGATGATACTGAGGAGGGGGATGAGGGTCAGGCCTGCTGGTGTCACCTGGGGACCAGCCAAACAGGTGACTGTCACGTTATCCATTGCTTGGCCTGCCCCGAGTAACAATCTGACATAAAGGCCCATCGCCAGCATGGATACAAACATGCATAGAGCTGGTGGGGGAAGGTGAGGAAGAGATTGTCAACCTCAACAACAACAACTTGCATTTATACAGCGCCCTTCACAAGTATGACTGCCCCGCCCCCACCTCCACGGCTCCACTGCCTCCCCATTCCCCCAACGCCCCCCCTCACCCCATTCGCATAGCTTGAGCTCCCAGTTACTCATGTAAAGCGCTCTTGAGACCTCCTCCCAATGTGACAGGCTCTGTGTGTGTGTGTGTGTATGTATGTGTGTGTGTGCATGTATATGTGTGCGTGTGTTGACCGTGGCTCGTTCTTGTTGAGAGAGAGAGAGATCGCGTCGGTACCTGAGGCGAAGAGTAGTTTGCGGCGCCCGGTTCTGTCCAGGAGCCAGGATGTGACCAGGACAGCCAACAAACGCACAACACCCACGATGGGACTGTCGGCGTTCCCGCTCTGTGGGCAAAAGCGCAGTCGAAGAGATAATAATATGTAGCGCCCTTAACCGCAGACAGCGATCCGCCAATCGCCAACAACCGGGTTCCTACTAACAACTGGGTAAACAGAGGCGTGTGGAGTAAGGAAACTTGCCCAACGTATCGCCCTGGCCGGGAATTGAACCCAGGTCCTCTCGCTTGCGAGGCGAGTGCTCTAACCACTGAGCTACAGGACTCCACAGTGCGTGTTAAGGTGGGTTTTGAAGGTGAAAAACAAATAGCCTGGACCTCTACTCAGTATCCTCAGCGAGTTCAAATCCAGCTCATCGCAGTCTCTCCTCCTCTAACTCATTCTTCTCCTCATCTTTCCCTCCCTCCCTCCTTCGACAGGGGGGGAAGGGAGGATCAGGGGAAGAACGGATTGGAGGAGGAGAGACTGCGATGAGTAGGATTTGAACTCAGTAAGGTTGCCGGGAGGGGCTGCAGATTATCTGGTCTTCTCCGGACTGTCCCTGGCTGTGTAACGCGTCTGGTGTGAACTCACCAGCACCACCTGGGTTTGGCTGAAGATTAATTCCATGTACAAGAGAATGACGGTGATGCCACTCAGCTGCTGCAGCGCCCACATGATCACCACCATCAGCACCGGCTTGTAGATGCCGGGCTGCTTCAGATCCGCGCACGAGACTCTCTTCATCTGCGGAAAGTGAGAGAGGCTTCGTGAGCAATCCCCGAGCCCAGCCCCGCTCCGTGAGTGGCTGATCTCGGCTCCTCTCCTGGTTGCTAACCAGAGACCTGCTGCTGGAAGGTGTGACTGTGCATGTGCAAGTGTGGGGGTGAGTGGGGTGGGGGTGATGGTGGGGGACGGGGGGGAGAATAAGCACAGATTCGGAGCTGTGGTGTCGCATAAGCAGGATGCATCCCTCCGCATAGGGAGTGCGCATTCCACACTATCTCTGTGATGGCCATGTCTGGGTGGGATGCTTGGAATCCTCAGCTTGGTTTGGACACTCTTAAGCATGGGGATGGGTCGGCTGCTGTGGGGCAAAGGGTAGGAGCTACACCCACCCCCTCACCCCACCCCCAAAATGCCAGAGCGAGCAGGTGCCAGTGGCTGAAGGGAAAAAAAGTCTGACTCACGTTTTCCCTGGCAGCGTCTCTGATATCCGCGAACTCCCTCCTGCAATCAGCGTCCGGTCCTCGGAGCCAGACCAGCGCGCGGATGGCCTTCTCATTCTGGTTTGCAGAGATCAAATAGCGCGGAGACTCGGGCATGAAGAGGAGGAGAACGAACATGACCACGGGGGCGATCAAACCCAACCCAGCCAGCCAACGCCACGACAGCCTCAGATCTGAGCAAGAGAAAGGTTTCGCTGGTATAGAATCGCACTAATAATAATCCTTGTGTTCGGCCAGGCTCCACTGGCTCCCCATCACTGAACGGATCGACTTCGAGATCCTCACACTCGTGTTCAAATCCCTTCACTCTCTCGCATCTCCCTAAGTCACAGCAACGCAATCATAGTATTATGTGGAATGACTGACTCACCGAGCAGGTACAGCAAAAAAGATCCAATGACAGTCATGATCTGAGCACCAGCTCCCAACTTTCCCCTCACCTCCACGGTAGATATCTCAGATACATACATCTGCAAATATACGGACACATAACCCCAAGATCGCTTTGTCTCACTTCTCTTCCTCTCCTGAAGGCACTGACTCATGCTTATGTGTAACTCAATGGCAGTATAATACTCCTACTTAACATTGTGTCCTATCACATCATCGAGATGTCTCAAAGCGCTTCGCAGTTTTTGACTGAATGCAGTGACTGATTTGTAGGCGAATGCAGCAACCAATTTGCACACAGCAACTTGCCACAAACAATCATGAGGAGAACAATAATAATCATCCTGCATTTGTTATAGCGCTATCATCATGTTGTTGAGACGAAATCCAGGTAAACAGAGGGGTGCGGAGTAAGGAAACTTGGCTAAGAATGATTAATTTTACCTGGGGGACAGATGGCCAGGACACAGGGAGAAATCTTCCCTTCTCATACATGAGAGTGGGGTGTTGGGTGGGGTGGGTGACTTCACAGCCTAACCTGATGATGTCTTCACCTCAAACAGCGCCCTCGTCTTCGGGTGAAACATAAAGTTTTTCCAGATTGACAAAAAAAAATGGTGCACATTCCAGCGGGGAAGGCCATAGAAGAGGGTATCAGCACGTTCTAGAAAGGGAGCGCAGAGTCGTAAGGCACAACTTACCGGTATGGAAGCCACAGAGATGCCTCCAGCTATTCCTGTTAATGTACGTCCAAAGTCAAGCATCCAGATGGCTTGAGCAGCGGCCATTAAGGCGAAGCCGGCAACACAGGGCACAATGGACACCAGGATGATCGTCTTACGGCCCAGGCAGTTATTCAGCAAAATGGCCATGAAACCCCCGAATGCTGCCCCCAGAGTGTATGATGACTGGAGAAGAAAATTAGACACAATATTCGGGTACAGCACGGGATAGAGGCAGAGTAAAGCTCCCTCTATACTGTCTATCCACAATCCCAGGTCAGTGCGTCTGACCTGATTCAGAACTGCATTGTAGAAGTGAAAGGTCAGAGGTAATGATAGTCTGTTAATCTGTGTGGGAGTGTGTCTGACTGAGCGTATTTAAAAGGGAATTAGACAGGCACACTCAGAGAAAGGGGATCAGAGGGGACAGAGAAAGAGCAGGGGATTGGGAATAGCATGCACCTGGAGGAATGATTATGATCCAGATACAACGGACGAATGGCAACTGAGATGTTCCCTTACCGCAAACCAAGACTTGTTGGTATCATCCAAATGAAGGCGTGGGTTGGAAGTTTCATTTAGCTGTTTGAGAGCAGGAGAGGAGTAAACTATTGAGTAGCCAAAGCTGAAGTTCCCCAGGGTGACAGTGAAGACGGCCAGGTAAAGTCTGGCATTGCTGGTTTTCCTGTAACAAACAGCAGCGGTCAAAAGTTTTGAGGCCTCAGCTCAGCTCATGAGATCTTTCTGTTTTATTAATGATAATATAAATAACAATCCTTGTGCTAGGTATAGTCCCTTTCACATTGGGAGGAGGTCTGAGAGCTCTTCGCAGGATTGACGGTGACCGTGGGCGAACTCGACAGCCCAATTTGCGCCCCACAACGTCCCACAAAACTGTCATGAAACAAATGATCAATTTTATTTGGAGATTTATTTTAATGAAAGATCCCATGTCACTATTCGAAAAAAAGAGAAGGGAGNTTTTTTTCCTGGTGTTCTGGCCAACAATCTCCCATTTAAAATTAATCATTCACTTTGTGGCTGTTTGTGGGACCTTTGCTGTGTGCAAATTGGCTGCTACGTTCATCCACAAATACACAGTCACTCCACTTTACAGTAAATCCTGTGAAGCACTTTGGGATGACCTCCCAATGTGAAAGACGCTAAATCAAATGTAAGGATTATTATTATTATTATCATCGTGTGAATTTGTCCTATGCATCTGCATTTAAATTTCACACAGTCTCAGCCTTAAAACCATTTTGTCTTAAAATTTAGATTGGGGCAGAATTGTGGAAAATGCTTAAATCTGGAATCTGTTTTTCTGGGGAAAAAGAACGGCTTCCAAATCAAGATTGAAGAATTTTCCACAATTCTGCGTCAGTTTAAATTTCGAGACAAACATTGTTCTGATGGGCTGAGAGCCTGTAGTGTATTTGTTAGAGCACTCTCCGCGCAAATTAGAGGACCCGGGATTGATTTCTGGTGGGGTGAAACCTGAGACAAGTTTCCTTACTCCACACGCCTCCGTTTTCCTAGTTGTAAGTAGGAATCCGGTTGTTAGTCGATTGGCTGATTGCTTTCCGGGATTAATGATCCCTCCAAAAAAGAAAAATTGGGTCACTCAATCCATGACTGTTTGTAGGACACTGCTATGTGTAATTGACTGCCACGTTTTGCCCACAAAATACACAGTCAATCCGCTTTATAATAATATAATACTAAATAATAATAATCCTTGCATTTAATATAGAAATATATTCTGTGAAGCACTTTGAGATGTCTCAGTGATGTGATGATGCGCTATATCAAATGCAAAGATTATTATATTCTTAAACACAAACTGAAATTAACAATGAGAACAACAACTTGCTTTTACATATCGGAAGCGCTGGTGATTTTACCTTGCGGGAGGTTGCTGAGGGGAATGGGTGTCTGTGGGGGAGATGGTGCTGTACTGACTGTTTGATGCACGACTCAGGAGCCAAGTCTTCATGGTGAAGAGGGAACAGTGCTTTGGTGGCCCGCTCTTGCCCTGTGGTTGAAATCTGCTTTGCCGCCTGGGCTAAGTTTGTTCTCTCTATATAGGTATCTCCTCGCCTCCATCCCTGGGAGGATCTGAGATGATATTAGTCATTTTGAAAAAGCAGTAGTGAACCTATCGTCTGTAATTTGATGAATTTCTTTTGCAATTTTGGCCAAATGGTAATTGAGTTATTAATAGCAACCTTGGGTGGACAGACTGGGGCTAAGAATGACAAGCTAGCAGAGAGGGTTCCCAAGCCTTGGCTCCTGCCAATCTGCGCCTAATACTCTCCGGAATTAGGTTAGCAGGATCCTTCCATCCAGGTTGAGAGCGCGCATTTCATTCCAACAATCCATCTCTGGGATTTCCATGTGTAGGTAGGATGCCTGGAAATCTCAGTTTGGTTTGCGTACTCTTAAGCATGGTGATGACACCTGACTGACCAAACAAAAGAGAGAGTGAGGGGAGAGGCGGTGGATGAGGATCGAGTGGTCGACGGTGTCGAAAGCAGCAGAGACGTCAAGGAGGACCAGGAGGCAGAGGGAGCTCTGGCCGCAGATGGATGCAATGCATTTCACATCAGGAGGTCGCCTCAAAGCACGTCACAGTATTTAACAACAACAACAAATGACATTTATCGAGCGCCTTTCACGTCGGGTGAACGTCCCAGTTGCACCCGAGCTGAGGGCTTGGAATCAAGAGGATTGGAGGGTAGGGGGATTGAGACTGGGAGGATGACCAAAGGCATGGTCAAATAAGAAAGTCTTGAGATGACCCTAGAAGGAGGCAAGGGATGGGCAAGGCAAAGGGGTGTGGGCAGAAAGGCTGAAGGCCTGACCGCTGATGGTGGAGTGGGCAGGGCAGGGGATGTGGAGTAGGTGAGTTCCCGCTGAGTGTAGTGACCGTGTATTTTGCGGGCAAACGTGGCAATCAATTTGCACCTAGGAATGTCCCTCAAATAGCCATTAAGTAAAATACCTATTTTATTTGCAGGATTGTTGGCCAGTACACCAAGAGAAAACTCCCTTCTCTTTTTGAGGAGCGCCATGAGATCTTTAATGTCCCACCTGACCTGAACAGACAGATGGGTCCTCAGTTTAATTATTCTGCTTTTCTTTTTCAGATATTTCTCTAATTTTCAGTGATTCTGTTAAATATTCATGTGCTGATATCCCCCTGTCTTACCTTTGTAACAAGGAACATTTCCAAGCAATATATTAATATTAATAAAACCTGACATTTGATACACTGCCTTATCATGACATCAGACATCTCAAAGTGCTTCACAAGATTTTACTATAAAGTGTAGTGACTGCACTTTTTGGTCCAGTCGGGTGATACATTTGGAAACCCAACACTGTTCTGAAAGAGTATCCAAACCAAACGGAGAGTTTGATGCATCCCACCGACACATGGAAACGCTCAAGAAATCTATCGGTTTAAAAAAAAATTTTATGCAAAAACAGCAGCTAATTTGCAAATTGATTTTTTTAAACCAATTGGCTTGATAAGATCTAAAAATAGCAGGGGATAAATAAACACTGTGCTTTTCTGTGAAAAGGTTATCTTGACTGAGAACTGGGTAAGTATTTGAACAGAGAAGCATTTGTCACAGAGGGGAGCTTACAAAGGTGTATGAAACTTTAAATGGGATTGAAAAAGTAAACCCATAGCAACCCTTTTTGATGCTCCAAGACTATAGAACAAGAGGACACGGGTTTAGAGTCCTAAAAGGCAATCTCAGGACAGCCACCAGTAAGTTTTTCTTTACGCAGAGGGTAATTAATGACTGGAACAGATTGTCAGCAAGGGTGGTTGAGGCCAGGATACAGGGATTCATTTAAATCACAGTGATTGGGGATGTGCATGGACAGTATAGAGGGAGCTTTAGTCTGGTCTCTAACCAATGCTGTTGCCAACCTAGGAGTGTGGATGGACAGTGTAGAGGGAGCATTATTCTGTCTCTAACCCGTGCAGTAGCTGACCTGGGAGTGCCTGATGGTTTCACTGAGTGTTTGTACCAATGCCTCAGAGTTGACATTTGTGAATCTGATGAGCTGCACAAAAAACAAGATTGAAAGAGAAATCAAAGACAACATTTAAATGCTGATAAGTGGGGAAAGAACTGACTCCCACGATAAACACAACAGTGCAAGAGGGAAGTGCATAAACAAATGTGAAATGAACAATTGCTGGAAATCACCATCAAATACCGAAAAAACCATCTTGTGAAACTGAGTGGGAATAAGGAAGTATTAGTTGCAAACTGGGTTTATCCTGATCGAAAATATCTTGGGCAATTGTGAAAAGTATTGCGTGTCTATAAAGGTCAATACAGTGCAGTTATAGGATCGAAATGTGATTTTGTGGTTTGCAGGGTAACCTCCTCTCTCCACCGACCTGTCCGCTCTCTACAATCAGCGAGGACCAGTCTGCTTCATATCTCCGCCCTATCTGCCCAAGAATGGCGGGTGGGCTTTCAGCCATTCTGTCCCCACTCTCTGGAACCCCATCTCAGAGCTGGTGTCAGGGGGGAGAAGGGACTGTCCAGTGCCTTGGGACGTCTTCCTGACATGAAAGGCGCTCTATAAATGTAATTTGTTGTTGACGCTAACATCTCTTTACGCTCCCTATCCCTCTGGGCTCCCACAGCCAGCACCTGTGAATGTGTTTTGGAATGCTCTCCTGACATGAAAGGCAATCTATAACTGTAAACTGTATTGCGGCAAGGTACTAAATCCAGGTCAAGCTTGTTGTGTGAGGCCTGTGTCCAAACAGTTCTCCTTTATGCTTCTGAGCTCGTGAGAATACAAAAGTCCAGGTCCAGGCAACGAGGTTGATTTGTGGTCAACACAGGAAGAGGCTACAGGGAGGGAGGGCTTTGGTCTACACTGACCTGTCACTGAGCACCCCAGAGGCAGAGTCAGCTTCACAGTGGGCACATCCTATTTGCCAATGACAGGAGGACCTGGATTAAGCAACTGGTACTGAGTAAGCCTGGCACACGGCATGGTCTTGGACCTCGAGAAAATCAAGGTGGTTTGCATGTCACAAGCTGTCCTGTAAAGGTCCTATTACCATGCTAAAGGCAGATGTCCATTAGATAGCTGATGAACAAATTGAGGCTCTGACCACTATACTATGGGAATTCACTCCACTGATTTGCTGTGATGTCAGACCTTTCGTCATTGCCTGTCCACCATGATTTGGGTCGGACCCAAATTTCTATCCCTCACTCTGCCACTGCTCTGCACCCTGTTGGTGTATCGGAAAGGGGTTAGGTTCTCAGTCGCCTCCAGTACCCTACAAACACTTGGTCGCTGCACTTTACAGTGACAAAGTGATAATGGGCTAAAATCAAATGCGAGATTAATTCATGAGCCTGTTTGTGGCATCTTTAAAGCTGAATTTGAAAGATATAGGATACCAGTGGTTACAGTAAATTCATTTTCAAAGCAAGCCTTGAGACTTACTGCTTTGACCACACTTTTGGTTATATTATTATTATTGTTATTATTGTTATTATTATGTTATTACAGTTTCAATCACTCTGTAGATGTAGTTTCTAAATTGTTTTCAGCGATGGTGGGTCATCCAGACCAGTACAATTGTCATTATTAATATTACCAATTATTAATAATAACAACAATGTTTGCGTTCGATAGAGCGCTTTTCCAGACGTCTCAAAGCGCTTCACAGAATATACTGTAAAGTGAATTGTCCGTACATTCGTGGGCGAAACGCGGCGGCCAATTGCGCACAGCGGCGTCCCCGCAAACAGCCGTGGATTGAAAAGGACCAATTTATCATTGCTTTTTTTTTGCTTTTTTTCGGAGGGATTATGATTATTATTAGGTGTGTGGAGGAAGGAACCTTGCCCATGGTTTTTGCCCGGCCTGGGAATGGAACCCCGGTGTCTCGCTCCCTGACCGCTGAGCTACAGGACTCCCGAGTAGTTCATCAATATTAATAATGGCAAATATTATTATCTCCACATACACGGTGTGAGGTGCTCCCAAACGTCCTCCCCGCCTGCTTACGTGCAAACTGCCGCGGGGGAAGCAGGAAGACAGTCAACAGATGAGAAATAAGTGAATGGGAATGTAGTCGTTGTTACTGCCGGTTGCCTGGTAACCGCTTGTTAGTTACTACCGGTTGCCTGGTAACTGCGTGTCAGTTAGTTGCAGCGTCCCTTGGTTACAGCCCTCAGTTCCCCCCCGCCATGTGCGAAGTGAAGACTCCCACCGTCACCTTCCTGGACCCGGCAGAGCCCGAGATCAAGGAGCCGCCGCCACCCCAGAAAACCAGCAAAACCTACAGGGTCAGCGCTGAGCTGCCGGAGAGGTTCGAGCATCCCGACTGCTTCCAGGGATACAGGTACCGCGATCCAGGCATCTCCAGACACAGCGGCAAAGGGAATCAGAGCCAGGTTCTGGTGGTGGGGAGGGGAGGGGGTGGGGGGGGAGAGCGGGGGGGGGTGCAAAGGGACTGATTTGAGGGTCTATCGGAACAAGATATGAGGTTCGGGGATGGGGAGGGAGAAATCTTGTGCATGTAATCTTCCAGGTTCATCGGTCATTCGACTCATGCTCGTACGTGTGTGTGTGTGTGTGTGTGTGGTGTTGGGTATGTGTGTGGTGTGTGCGTCTGTCTGTGTGTGTGGTGTGTGTGTGGTGGTGTTGTGTGGTGTGTGTTTGTGTGTGAGAGAGAGAGATTTTGGCAGGAAAAATACCTACTGCGTTTCCCTGCAAAAGCACTTGACACTGATTGTCTGTGAAGCTTTGCTGTGCTAACAACAGCAACAACAACATTGCATTTATACAGCGCCCTTCACACTGGAAGGTCATCCCAAGGCACTGGACACTTAAGGGTTTTGCACTCGAGCTGGGGATTGGAAGGTTGGAAGGTAGGGGGAGTAGGGATGGAAGTGTGGCCGAAGGCACGGTCAAAGAGGAAGGTCTTGAGATGGGTATGAAGGAGTTGAGGGGGAGGGGGGCAGCAGGGATGAAGTTCCAGAAGGTGGGGACAACGTCTTTCATCTTGTCACATACCAACAACAACCTACAGTTATATAATGGCCTTCACAGAGCGCTGTACAGTGGCAGAGTTTACGCTAAGGTGTTACGCACATTAATGACTGAGCTTTCTAATCTTCCAGTTCTCGACCTACCAACCAGCTCTACAGGACATCTAATCAGAGCTACGGGAGCCGAGCTCCGACTGTTCATGAAATGCCGGTGAGGAGCTTTACTTTCTGGGTTTAAAGTCAGGGGAGATAAATAATAGATAATATAATATAATAATAATCCTTGCATTTAATGTATCGCCTTATCACATCTTTAAGACGCCTCAAACCGCTTCACAGAATATACTGTAGAGTGAATTGACTGTATATTTTGTGGGTGAAACGCGGCAGCATTTGTGTCCCACAAACAGTCATGGTTTGCAGTGACAAAATGATTATTTTTGGTTTTTTGAAGGATTTATTCAAAAAAAAAGGTGAGAGTGAGTGTCACACAGCTCAGGCTGAGATCTGGCCAGGCTATAGTGTTAGGGTATTTGGTGCAGAGTAGACCGTCACCTGCTCACATTCTCCACCTGTTTGTGTGGTTTGATCCTTTGCCACTTCCTGATGTTCCACAGATAATAGTAATAATAATTGATATTTAATATAGCTCCTTATTACATCGTCGAGACGTCTCAAAACGCTTCACAGGATCTACTATAAAGTGGCTTGACTGTGTATTTGTCAGTGAATTACACAGTCAAACCAAGTTTGATATGGAGATGTATATTAACTGATTATCGGCAAGAACAGGAGTTGGGGAGGAGAGAATCAGCCAAGGTTCACCCTAACCATTAACCTTCAGAGACCGTCATTACCCGGAATCTGTTGGCAACAACAACTTGCATTTATCTAGCACCCTTCACACAGAGTATTGTCTCGGGAGTAATCAGATGGTAGGAGAAAAATGTCCAGAATCCCAACGCACCCTCTGGGCTACCACAAGCCTTGGCACTTTTCAACCTGCTCTCCGGAATTAGGTAAGCAGGGTGTGTCCCTCCAGGAAGAGAGAAAGTGCGCATACCGTTCCAACAATTTATCTCTGGAATTTCCACATGTAGGTCGGATGCATTGGATTCTCAGCTTGGTTTGGAGACTCCTAAGCATGGTGATCGGTTTCCGCGTGTGTCAGTCACCCGGCTGAGCAAATCAAATGTCCAGAAGGGTTTTGGAACTTCAGCTCTGTAGCAGACAGGGTGTGTACCAGTCTTGCATTAAACCCTGAATTTGCAGATTGTGGAGGGTGAGCATTTCCCCTTTTCCCTGTCTTGAAATAGGAATCAGTCCTTTAATCACTGAGTGTAAATGAGCTGTCATTTCCAATACTTGAGGAAGCAACGAAGCAGCAAGAAAGGTTTTTCATCTCCTTTGAGCCTGTTGCACCAATTTTCTAGACTATTTCCCAACACTCTTATTTCCCAAATCTTAAGTGTGTACCAAGAGAAAAGTGCAATCTCGACACGGAGAGTGGTGAGAATGTAGTATATACCCTGCCAATAATGGTGCATCCCACAATCCCACTGCTCTCTGAGTAAAGAAATCTCGATACCACCACTAACAGATCTCACTCTAATGTTTAGATTGTGTCCCTCGTTCTGGATTCTGCATCTGCAGGAACGAATCTCCTGTCAATTCCCGTTCCTATTTAAACACCTCGATCAGATCACCTTCAACCTCCCCTGTTCAAGGGAGCGCAACCCTAGTTGGCCCATTCCTCTCCAATAACTAAGCCCTTCATTCCACATTTCGGTGTGTCAACCTGGCTCAGTGGGAGCGCTCTTGCCTCTGAGTCAGAAGGTTGTGGGTTCAAGCCCCACTTTGGGACTTGGAATCACATTGTCTAAGTTGACACTCCAATACAGTGCTGCAGGTGTGTTGTATTGTCGGAGGTGCCATCCTTCGGATGAGACATTAAACCAAGGCCCCGTCTGACTGTTCAGGTTAACATTAAAAATCCCATGGGGCTATTTGAAAAGAGGAGGGAGTTTCTCCTGGTGTCCAAACAAATCCCCCGAGTAAAATTGGTCCACTCACTCCAGGGCTGTTTATGGGACATTCCTGTGCACAAACTCGCCCACAAAATACAGTCAATCCAGTTTACAGTATGTCCTTTGAAGCGCTTTGAGACATCTCACGCTTTATATCAAATGCAAGGATTATTACTAGCTGAATCTGCAATGAACAAAACTCTGACCAGTAACATTACTTCCTTTGATTTAGATTCCATTGGCCTTTTTGACTGATTTTTGTACCTTTATTAAATAAGTCACACTTAACGTTGTTGAATTGATGTAGCGAATGATTGAGAAGTCTAATCCCTTACCTGTGGCCAAACCAGCCTTTCAGACCTCTCTCTCCACTCTTTAACCCTCGGTTCCAGACTGTGTACCACGGGCGGTCATGGAACTTCACCAAAAAAATGATGAAAACCGGAATGTATAGAGATAATGGCTTCAACATGGGCAGCGAGAAGACCTTTGTCACCGGCCTTGAGGACAAGCTGACATTCCAGGATCGACTGAACTTCCAAAAATCCTACCTCTTGTCTGGCCCACCCCACACTGAATAGGTGGAATGGCGGGGCTATGTAGATACAAACCCGCACTGTATATACCGTGTTCCCTGCCACCCCCACAAGAACACAGATGTCAATGCGGCAATAATGCTGATGCTGTTACTGCATGAGATTTTTATAAATAAACACTGGGAATTTGATGTGAAAAACAGATTCTCAGGCTTTTTTTTTAAACGCACTGATAATTGCATTTCCTCCACACTGACCCATCCTTTCTGAACCCCCCATGCTGAGGCAGGTGCGGAAACTGGAGACGAGAGTACTGTGGTTTTATGACTCTTGAGGCAAATTTTTAGGATGTTTCAAAGGGAGCTGACCTGCCTCATGCTGTCTGTGACCTGGGAGTGTGGACGGACAGTGTAGAGGGAGCTTTACTCTGTGTCTATATTGTGCTGTCGCTGACCTGAGAGTGCTGGATGATGACACTGAGCGCCTGAAATAATAGAAAATTTTGATCATTTTTATGAGCACCATTATACTAGTTAATGAAGGAGGAGGTTAAGAGAATGGTATTGATTGTGACCAAATACTGGTACTCACAGGCGTTGGGACTGGAGCACGTGACAGAGCTAGACAACAGATAGTAAGATTATCCGGAATGATTCCCATTAGAAACGAGACGTCCAGATGATGTGACCGAGGCATTCTCGATGCTGAAGGAAATTCTGCTTTACTGGGAGAATAACGCCTGATGCGGATAAATTATTCCAGCTGGTTGGTGAGTCAGTGACTGGAGGCCATCAGTTTAGGAATAGTAACCAAAATTAAAGGATGAGATTAGGGGATTTTTTTTACACACAGAGTCGTTAGGCTGCGAATACCTTGCCTGGAGTGATGGTTGAGTCAGGATCCATATTAGCTTTCAAAGGCAACTAAATACAGTAAACTCCTGATAACTCAACCCTGGCCAACTTGTGACCACCACTTAAATCATCATGCTATTAAGTTATGTACATATTGATGTGTATGAATAACTCACCATTTCAGGTACTTTGACACTGCCCTTTTCCCTCAGGAGTGACGAGTTATCGGGACATTACTATAGATCTGTAATAAGGAGTAATATGCAGATGAGACAAATAGCCTTAGTCTGTGTACGATTCTATTTGAGAAGTCAGCTGGAATATTAATTTTACAGGATGCTTGAGGGTTGGGTCAGGCTACAGAACGAGAGTGAGATGTGAGACTGGAAGATGCTGTCCATCACTGTCTCCATTGAGCACTTTGTGATGGTTCCTTTTGTTTAGTCAGCCGGGTGTCTGGCACGTGTGGAAACCCTTCACCATTTTTAAGAGTCTCCCCAGAGTGTTCCTTTATGTGAAAGGTGTTGAATAAATGCCATTTGTTGGAGGAACAAGAACCGAGAGACCATGAAAGCAAAACACAAGGTTCGTTTTTATTGTGGAAAATACAAATAGTGTTCTAAAAAAAAATACAGTAACAAAGTTCTGGAAGGGTTTTGTCTTGTGAACTGGCTCGAGATTCCTCATTTTTCGGGAGTTGAGAATATGGGATTCACAATGGAGCAGCAAGTCGACAACAAACGGACCTGAGATGCTTCCAGCCCCCTCTCGATCAGTCAGCATCACACACAGAACCTGAATTATTACAGTGCACTTTTCCCAGAGCTGTACCGACATCCTCTTAAATTATCCACCTAAGGGGCACCCGCCACTCCCCCAACCCCCACACCCCTCTCCTGCTGTAAACTGAGATTCACGCGGATGCAGTTAGCATACATAGATAAGAGACGTCAGTGGAAGGCTTAAAAAGGCTTAAATTTCAGTTCACAAGAACTGAACTGGCTCAGTGCTCAATTTCGGGGAAAGAGGGGAAGAATACGGAAGCAGAGGTTGGCTACAATTTGATCTTAGAGATTTAAGCATTTTAAACTTGTACCAACTGAATTACTCTGTGCCATCTGTCATTTGCTGCCATTAGCAGTCAAGGTATGATCTGAGCCAGAGAAGCTACTAATTAATTAAATTTTGCTGCACTAACTGTGCTCTAGGGATGTCTAGCAGCAATTAAAAGGTAATTCAGGAGACCTGCAGTTTCTTGGTCATTGTGGTTGGAGTATATTATGACACTGTCATATACTGTGCAGTACTGAGATATACTGTGCAGCATTGTGTGACACCAAACGTGCCAGGATCAGGTTAGCTGTTTAGTGATGAAAAGCCAAACTCAGCTTCCAATCCACTTCAGGTCCCCGAATGGTCTCAGGGTTTGTCACTGCAAAAATGTGGTCCTCAGGAGAAGTCATCTTCCGGCTTCTCCTGCTATCACTCTCCCCCCACATCTCCTCTCTTACGAGATACCTTACTTTCTTAAACTCAAGGAATTCAGCACCTTCAAAACTACAAGCTTACTTAATGTGTGGAGGTGGGGAAGACAGACAATAACTAGCATTCCATACAGACAGTACAAACAGGACAGTAAAGCTTAACTCTGGTTGACTAGAATAAGTCAGAAATACTGATTGACACTTAAATTAAACAGAACAAACTGCTAACTACCTAACAGACTGAGTCAGGCCCTCATTTCTCCAGTCATTCACATCGGATTGACAGCTGTCAGCAAACTATAACTTGAGAAGTCTTTGGAAGAGACTGGTGGTGATATCAGGCTGAAGCCGCACTTGTCAGTTACAGATTGGCACTCAGACCCAGACATGCCTGTCACCCACCTGGAGACCTCTCGGCACAGCCAGGTGACGCTCACACAGGCTCGGGCGCTCTGGGCCCGTGCCCGTTCACCTGGGGGTGTTGCTGGGCGCTGCTCGGAGGGACAGCCCCATTCGTCTCCATTGGCGCCGTGGGCGTGGATTCGGTCAGCGTGTCTTCGGGCGTCTCTGCTTCGTCCTCCCGCCTGCAGTAAGCCTCGTACAGTGGCAGGTCACTGCCGTCCCACAAACTGTAGCTTTTTGGAACAAAAGAAAATGCCAAAAGAGAGAAAGCTTCTCAAACGGTCACTCGGCGCAGTACACAGCGAGATACACAGACCAGGGGCCGTGTCGCCGCACACGTCAACAGTCCGACATTCCATTTACCTTATCCTCTCCCTCTGTTCCCGAAGACAGTGAACTGCGCTGAGGGACAGTCCCGTGGGAGCTCTCCACTCCCTCGCCCTAAGTGGCTGTACTTTCTGTGAGAGCCTGAGCATGTGTATGTGTCTGGGGGGGGTCGTGGGGGGGGGGGGGGGAATTTGACTGTAGGGATTTGACCGCAGGGACATCACAGCCCTAGTCCTATCCTCACTGGTCAGCCACACACACACACGGAGCTCGTGGCAGGACAACTGGATCGTGATTGAGAGTGGGAACCTGGCTGATTAAGGGATGCTGAGGCCAATTACTGTCCCTCAGCTGAGATCAGTGACAACAACTAGCATTTATATACAGTAGTGCCCTTCACGGCGGAGAGCGTCACAGCCATGGAGTCATCGACGCCGAGCAAGAGAGGAGGGGGAGGCGACCGTACGCGAGGAGGTGGGATTTTAAAGATAGAGAGAAGAGTGGGGAGAGGAATAGAGTGCCTCAACACAGACCAAGGACCACAAGGTGTATTTCACCACTGAGCCAGCAGAGATCATTGCTTACGGCAAACAGATCCAGCACACGTACAGGATCCTGGTAAGAACCAAATGGTGACAGAAAAGGAGGGAAAACATTAACAAGATAACGGTTTCCCGCATCTGAGAACACGGTTCTGGTTAATTCATAGAGAAACCCACAGAGGGATTGATAGCTTCATTGGATAGGATAATGGCATGTTAAACTAATGGGCAGAATGGCCTACTTCTGTGCTGAATGTTTATTTGCTCCAGTGGCACGGAGTTAGAGAAATAACTGAAGGTTGGTGGAGTTTGAGAGGACACAATCTCGTCATTTAAAAGGAGCTAAACAGCAACACAGACAAATAGTGAAACGATTACTTTATTTAAATGCGTTTAAAAATATTTAAGCTTTAAAACGGGGCATTAGAACGAGGAATAAAAGGACGACGGGTAAATTTTAAACGATTGCATTGGAACAAAATGAAACCGCAGCACATACATTGAACAGGGTTTAAAGTGGTCACACGGTAGAACAAATACAGTTTAAAAAAGCATTTCTGTTTGGAACAGAGACATTCACTTCGACAATTCTACTCAGAGATTATATTAGCTAAAGCTGATTGCAGCCTGTCTGTCCTCAGTCAGTGCTAAGGCTGGAGTCAGGCTGTGCCCGCAGTAAAGTGCAGCACAGTTTAGGCGCTTGAAAATCAAAGTGCGAGCTTCACTGACCAAGCGTACGCGGCATTTTTAAGGCACTTAAAACCACTGAGAAACGTGTTTATATCTTGAACCGGAGCTTTACTCAAGAATTATTTATAGTTCTGGTAACAGACATGATAACAATATCATCCCTGGTTATGCATAGACTTTAGAAAAATTATTTTGTTGAATAGTGAAGCAGCCTGGCTGCTTGAGGACGTGATTGAGAAAGGCGGCACTGATAGTGCAGTGGACAGAGTAGCAGATCTCAGAACAGCAGCTCGCTGGTTCGAATCCTAATCTGCACCGAGTTTGCTGGTCTCAGGCAGGCTGTGCACTGAGGCTAAATTGGCCCTGGACGTTCATGATTAGGTTAATCCCCATTACTAGTCTTTGTCTCTGTCACACTTGGCCAGCTATCACACAAGAGCCTGACATCCCCCAATAAAGCCCCCTGGTGTCAGGATCGTGTGTGATTGCTGGGTGAGGAGAGGTCAGCTCAGCTGTGACACTCTTTGCCAAAATTCACGTATGAACGATGACTATTTGGGTAGAGCCAACAAGACCGCAACCAGCCCAGTGAGAGGAGGCTGAAGAGTCAGGAGGGGGAAGCTAGGGAGCAGAAACTATTCGCCATTGAGGAGAATATTAGAAAATAATTGGACACTAAATTTTACAGTTTAAAAACACATATTCCCAATTCGCAGTTTACGGTGTTGATATTATAATAATATTCCTTGCATTTGATATAGCGCTTTATCGTGTGATTGAGACGTCTCAAAACACTTCAGAATATAGAGTAAAGTGAATTGACGGTATATTTTGTGGGCGAAACGTGGCAGCTAGTTGCGCACAGCAGTGTCCCACAAACAGTCATGGATTGAGGGACCAAATTATTATTTTAAAAAATGTATATTTTTGTGAAGGGGTAATTACCCCCGGAAAAGCGATCCGCCAATCAACTAACAACCAGGTTCCTACTTACTGTTAGGTAAACAGAGGCGTGTGGAGTAAGGAAACTTGCCTACGGTTTCGCCCCACCTGGGAAAGGCACCATTGGTAAATTATGGGATTCGTATACCATGGAATATGAATCTTATTTCATAATTGAGTTAGTGTTCCAGGGGATAGAGAGACTTAGTATGACAATATTTGATCTTTCAAGATGGAAAGAAATTGGGTGGGGGAAAATGGGGGAAGCCCAAAGTGGGTGGGAAATGGGGGAAATGCTGTTATTCAAAACGCTCAGCGCTTCACATTTTAGGCTTTGGAGATTTACAAAATATAAATTTTGTAAAATGGAGAAATGATTTTATAACTGTTGGAATTACATTCTGGAAAAACTAATTTCTGTGATTCGGTGAAAAAAACATACTCTCTCTCTTGTAACCTGACAATTGCCAGACAATCACCTCACTCATTCACTCGCTCCTCTCAACCTCGCTCGCGCTCTCCTCTCACACTCACAATAATTAATAAATGGTGAGACAGCGAGTACAAAACGATACAAAGTGAAGTGAAAATCACCCTCAGGAGACTGAACCATAGAGAAGAGGATGGATTCAGGTTCAATGTCCTTGAGGTGACACAGAAAATGCTGTTCCAGACATCCACTGGTGCACAAAGAGATTTGTAAGGACACTTGGGGGAGTTTATTTAAAGGCCACATCTCAATGCATAGATAGCCGAGTGAGGATCTCTCTATCTCCGGATCAAAGGCATCTTATAATCCATCACTTGCACAGGTCTGGCTGACGAGACCTTTGCACTTTTATCATCTTCAAATGGCCAGACTGATGCATCCAATAACAGTGCAAATACACACAAGAGTTATTAGGTATTGCAAATTATTTTGTAAAAAGCTTTGAAGTGGCCAAAGTTCCCTTTATTACCCTGTGTATCAAACGTATCATAAGAAAAGCTGGTTTATTAGGGGATGATGACCGAGACAGTCATTCAACAGGAAGATCCTTAAGAGAGGCCACAGGAGCCTGGGGCCTTATTAAAGATATCAAGAGAAAAATGTGTACCAGGCACCCATTACACAAACTCTCCATTAGACACAGAGAGGAACCAAGAAGCATGTCAGAGCCTATAGTTTACAAATGTGCCTAGAAATGTAGTCACTGTACTTGGCGGTGATAAGCTGCAAGGGGCTTTGAGACGTTTTGATATGATAGAAGCTATCAATAGCTGGAAAAAGTGGGTTAATAATTGTTGAAAATGGAAATGGATAAGCACTTGAGGATTTAAAACAAGGCAGGACATGGGGAAAGAGATCTGGAAAGATGATTTAGAAATACAGCAAGCAGTGGTTTAGGCTTCATGGCCGAATGGACTCCTCCTGTGCAGAAAGTGCCTGTTCCTAAATGCAAGCATTATCATTAATGGAAAAGTTTTGAATGCATTACAATAGTGCGTAGTATAGCAAAGTATTATACCGCGAGGTGCATCTGAGAACGGTACATGGCAGCATGGGGTATGGCACGTGAGGTTAGCAGAGTGCTGTGATCAGGCTGTCGGGGCAGACAGCACATCGCTAAACCCGGTGCCAGACCCCAAAGCCTGTTCTATTTGTACCTGGAGGAGTAATATTCTTCTTCCAGTTCATACAGATCGACAGCGATCTCGTCTCGCAGTGTGATCAGCTTCCGGTCGCACTCTTCTTGCAGGCTCCGCAGTTGCTGGTTCCGCTGGTTTATGGCTTCATTCACCGACGGGAAGTCGTTCAGGATCAGGAATTGCTTTAGATCTGACACAAGCTTCATGAGAGACTCCCCAGCGCGGACCTGCCAGAGCAAGGACATTTATGGAGTGTTACAGCATCAAACAGCCTGTTTGCTCCACCAAGTTTGCAATGCAGTAATCCTCGCATTTGATAAGAGCGCCTTATCACATCTTTGAGATGTCTCAAAGCGCTTCACAGAATACTTTACATTGACAGATAGTGAGGGATAAGGCAAGGGGTTCGAGGGATGGATTTCCAGAGGGGAGAGGTGGGGGGGGAAGAGAATTGGAAAAGCTCGGCCACCAATAGCTTGGGTAGGGCGGAGGACATACAACCAGCCTGTGTTAGTCAATCTAAGAGGCGAGCAAAGGAGTGGAGTAAGATGCACTCTCTCCAATGCTATTCTAGTTTTACTGTGATGAGGTACCCAAAGTTAAATGGAATACTGTCCTCCATACTCACAATGTTTGCTGCCCTCACGTGCATCTCGTAATGATCCTGTTCACACTGAGTTGCCCGGGAAACCTGAGTTTCATCTTCAATCTGCAAAACAGAGACTTCTGATCAGAGTTCATTTCTTAAATTAACGCTTTCACCCCCCCCACTCCCTGCCAATATATGGGGTGGGGAGCCCTGCATTGCCCTTTGGATGAGACGTCAAACCTAGGTCCTGCAAATCGGCCGTGATGGATATTAAAAATCCTATCTGTTCAATAAGAGAAGGGAGTTTCTCCCTGTGTCTTGGCCAACAGTCATACACATTAATTGGTCATTTAGCTCACTGCTGCTTGTGGGAGTTTGGTGAAAACATACCCGAGCTGTTTTTATGATCTCCATGAAGTTATCCAGAATAGATTTGATGTCATCCTTCAGCCTCTTGTTGTATGACTGCAGCAGTGTTTCTTTGCTCTGGGGCAGCACTCGCGGTTGTGCCATTCTCCACAGCTTTCCTGAATTGAGAGAAGCCACAAAATGAAGAAAATAATGCTTGTATTTTGCTCATTCCCAATTTTCTACCCTCTCTCGGCATCCCACAAATTAACTTTGCCCTCTCTGTGCGGTGGTGGTGGTGGGGGGGGTGGGGGTGAGTAGGGGCAGTAGCCTCTCTGTGCGCGTGTCAGTGTCCGTCCACTCTTTGGGGGAGAGTGCCTATTTTCCCAGACGGGGGAGGAATGTATATTTTGCCCACAAAATATAGTCAATTCACTTTAGTCAATTCTGTGAAGTGCTTTTCAGTATTGAGGATACGTGATGGGGGTGGGGGTCAGCACCCGCCCTGTGGGGGTGGGGGTCAGCACCCGCCCTGTGGGGGTGGGGGTCAGCACCCGCCCTGTGGGGGTGGGGGTCAGCACCCGCCCTGTGGGGGTGGGGGTCAGCACCCGCTCCGTGGGGGTGGGGGTCAGCACCCGCTCCGTGGGGGTGGGGGTCAGCACCCGCCCTGTGGGGTGGGGGTCAGCACCCGCTCTGTGGGGGAGGGGTTCAGCGCCCGCTCTGTGGGGGTGGGGGTCAGCACCTGCTCTGTGGGGGTGGGGGTCAGTGCCCACTCTGTGGGGGTGGGGGTCAGAGGCCGCTCTGTGGGGGTGGGGGTCAGTGGCCGCTCTGTGGGGGTCAGTGGCCGCTCTGTGGGGGTCAGTGGCCGCTCTGTGGGGGTCAGTGGCCGCTCCGGGCAGGGGGTGTGGGGCTCAGCAGGAAGTTAGGGGATCAGTGCCCGCTCTGCGCGAGGGGAAGGGGCAGTGCCGGTGGACTGTGCCCATTGTAAAATAACCCCTGGATGTGAATGATCCAGTTGGGGCCTCCCGGGCCGGGCCGAGCCGAGCCCCGGCCTCCCCCGCAGCCCGAGGCCGCCGGAGCCCATCCCTTACCTCGGGGGGCGCCAGCGCTCGCTCCCGCCGCCACAACCAAACCTGCTCCGCCGCTCCTCCGCTCTGATTGGCGTGGCAGGGCTCCGCCTCGCAGCACGCTGCGCCGCGATTGGCTGAAACCCACGTCAATCACGGCATCAAGTTTGGGTGCGCTGCCAGGCGGGCAGATTGGGCGGCTTCCCGCCCAATTGGGCGGGTTTTTGTGGCGCTGTGGGCGGGTGTCGCCTTAACCTATTTTTTAAAAAAAATTACCCTAATTTTTTCAATGAAATGTAACAACAACAACAACAACAAGATTCCACTTATAGAGCGCCTTTCACGTCGGGAGGACGTCCCAAGGCGCTGTAACGCTTTAAACCTTGCATTTGGCATCGCACCTTTCACATCAGGAGGAAATTCCAAAGCATCCCAAACACTTACTCATCCCTTAAATCGTTTATTCGGTACAAATGAATAATACGTTTGTCGGAAGATTCCACGGTACAGCAGTGCTAGCTTTTTACTTGCTCCTCTGAGTCTGTGAGTTGTTTGGGTTTATCCTCGGGTAAATCTGTGGGTTGGCTGCCCACAATTTCTTCACCAATAATTTCTAAGGAATTTTCCCCGACCACCCGGTTAACTCGTCTAACCAGCTCGCCTTTTGCTGCCAATATTTCTTCAATGTTCCTGAAGATATAGAATCACAAAACACAATAAATGCGTTATCCGATCCGAAAGAGGGAGTGAGTTCGAAAAGCGGCGGCATAGTGGCTGAGAGCCCAGCTACCAATGGAGGCTCGGAGTTGAGTTGGCATGAGTTTATGGAACAAAAGGAGTGGGCATGACTGGACCTGGAGGTGATTCAAGAGACGGAGCGAGGCAAGAGTGCGAAGTGATTTGAAATGCAGCACAAGAATCCTCCGATGGGAAATGGGGAATTGTTGAAGCCTGGTGAGTGTGGGGTTTACAGCAGGATGTCTGGTGGTACTCTGATTACAATAATAATTGTATTTAGTATAGCGCCTTTCACATTTGGTTGAGTTCAAACTCCTGACATGTGGCTAAGAACCCATCACCTCTGACTCAGCAGCAAGTGTCCCATCAACTATGCAAACTGAAACCCAGCTATCATTATGTCAGTTGATAATGCTCTCACCTCGGAGTCACAAGGTTATGGTCAAGCCCCACGTAGGGATTTGTAACTCACATTATCTTGGCTGATGCTGCTGTGGCTGTGCTGAATTATTGGAGGTGTTGTCCGAGGAAACAGGCGAAGGAGTTTTGAATTAATTGGATTTTTATGAATATTGGAGCCGAGAAAACTGTTGAGAAAGACATTGAAATAATCGAGATGGGAGGTGACAAATAAGGATTTCGGCTGTGCTATGTATGACACTGTAGTTGTAACTAGAACACCATCTCACGGTCAAATATCCCACCAGTACCCTGTTTCTGGGCTCAAATATAAAGAATGGTTCTTTGGTTGAGATCTTGGACGGCAGACATACACTTACCCCCCCACCCCCAATCCCTCCTTGAAATGTACCCCATTATACAAAAGAAAAGAACTTACTTTTTCCCCTCAAGGTCTGCAAACCATCGTAAATTATCTGCTATGATGTGGTGATTGTCACATCCTGGACATTTTACAATAACTACTCCGTTGTGATAAGCCAATTTTGAGATGTTTTTTGTAGATCTTGTATTGCAAACCTGAAACAAATAAAATACTTGTATGTTCAGTAATCTCCAAATGAACAGTGTGCCCTGTTTTCCAAGCTTTTCCTTTTATGGAAATCAGAATCAGAAGGTAATGGTCCACAATGGGACTTTGAATACATAACTACCACCTTTTATAATAAAACCCTGTAAAGCGCTTTGAGACAGCTTGATGACGTGATACCGCGTTCTATCAAATGCAAGGATTATTATTATTATACTGTACTTTGGGGACAGTCAATATGGCAAAACATGGTACTAATCTATGATATTGATGTCCCACACACTGCGCGGAATCCCAAATTCATCTGTTTTTTTTGACCAGCAACTCCCTTCCCTTTTCAAATCGTCCTCCCTTTTAATAGTACCATCTACAGTACTAAGATCTTCGGCGCTATACAAATGTCATTTGGTTGTTGTTAACCGTCAGTGGGAACCGCCGAGGAGGACAGACTAGAGCTGGATTCAGGGTCTCAACCCAGAAAGTTCTCGCCCGTTGTTTCCCGATTAAGCGCAAGAACCTATTGAGGGAATATTGGAGTTTCCAAGCAATAGGGTTGGTCTCAACCTCAACCACTTTGGTGACAGGGATCCATTTCTGCTTCTATGGGCACAGGCGCTCTCCCCGCCCCTCCTCCCCACCCTCTGGGCTGTGGACAGACAGGTCCTCTCCCCCACCCCCTGGGGGCAGATAGACAGACCCTCTCCCCCACCCTCAGGGGGGGGGGCGGCAGACAGACACACAGACCCCCTTCCTCACCCCCAGGGGGACACACAGACCCCCTCTCCCCACCCTCGGGGGGGGGGGGGGGGGGGGCAGACAGACAGACAGACCCCCTCTCCCCACCCTCAGGGGGGGGCAGACAGACACACAGACCCCCTCTCCCCACCCTCGGGGGGGGGGGGGGGGCAGACAGACAGACAGACGACAGACCCCCTCTCCCCACCCTCGGGGGGGGGGGGGGGGGGGGGCAGACAGACAGACCTCCCCACCTTGCAGGTGTAGGACAGCTGGTAGTGGGTTGGGGGCGTCTCTGCCAGCGGCGCCGCGGCCCGCAGGGTCCGGCCGGGAGTGAAGCCTCGAACCGCGGGGCATGAGCAGCAGGAGGCGGAGAGGAGCCCGGGCCCCTGCCTCCTGAAGCCGCCGCCGCCGAGCCCCAAGGCAGGCCGGAGGCTGACAAGGCGGCGGAGACCGCGGCTCAGGCTCATGGCGGGGCCTCGGCCTGGTTCCTATGGAAACCACGAGGTGGCCAGAAATTATAATACGTTTGTAGCCCAAAGTCAGCCCAACACTAGCCCAAAAGTAGCCCAACAGTCTGCGTCGCCGCAACGGGTGTCGTAGTCTTGCGAGAGTTTCTGCCGATGCCGCAGAGTGGGCGGTTTCACGCCCAATGGTGCGGGTTTGCGTGTGAAAAAACCGTCTTTGGGCGGGTGCTTAATTGTCAATTTAAACCCGCAACCCCCCCCTCACCCCCACACTCCCTTTCCCCTTCGCTTTGAAAACCCTTTTCTTGCACTGTTTCACGAAGCACAAAGAACTAAATCGCCCACTCCCTATCGTATCGGGGCTACTTTTGGGCTACAAACGGATTTGAATCTCTGGCAAATCCCCGGGCAGCTGCGGGGGGCCTTGCTGCTCAGTACCCAGCATGCCCCGCGCCCTGTCCGTTGGCGGTTAGATCCCCGGCGCGAGGAGGAGGAGGAGGAAAGAAGGTGCCGCCGATGGCCGCCGACGATCCGCCTCCATCCTCCCCCCCGGGGACTCGCCGCACTCACGCGTGGAGGCCGAAACTCCCCGCAGGGACCTCGGCGATGAGGGAAGCGGCCCCGAAGCTGCTGATTCCCGGGTAAAATGTGGCTCCCCATTACCCTCATAAGAGGGGGTGGGGGGGGGTGGGGTCGCTGAGACAACTCGTGGCCGAAAAGCGAGGGGTCGGGGTGGGGGGAGGAGGAGAAATTAGGGGCTCGTCTTCGGGGACGACCCGCGTTCCCTAAGGGGAAGGCATTCGGTTTAGGAGAGGTCAACCGGGGTGGGTGGGGGGGGGGATATCAAGATGACCTGAGGGTTAGATTTAGGGGCTAAGGCAGAAAGGTTTGGGGGTCTCAATGAGGGGATATGGGGGAAGTCGTTATTGAGTAATACGAGTAACAATTCCCCCCCCAAAAAAATTTTTTTTTCTTGTCTTCAGGTGAACGGCCAGAAGGGACGAGCAAATGCGGCTATAAAACAGCAGGAGGTTCGAGAGTTTTGTGAACCTCTTCTTTGGGAGAAGAGACCTCAGCCCTCTTGACGAGCGCGAGGTCAGTTCGCGTGCAGAGCGCGGCCCGGCGAGTCCAGGCGGCGGCGGTTACAGCTCGGGGCACTGAGCCTGTCCCGCGTCACCCATCTCGCGCTGCTCGTGGCATCCAGCCTGCCCCCCCGACCAGCGTTCCTCCCTCAGCCGCTCCCCCCAACCCAGATGAAGCGAGGAGCGTGCACACGCTGCAGATGATGTGAAACCAATATTTGCTGTCTGATCCTGAAACAGATGACAAACCACCAAGATCGCTGATGCAGCTCTCCCCGCACTTCCTCCCACCCCGCGCTCTGTGTTTGCCGTTCAGTGACGCCCTTTGTGTCTTTTTTAGCTGCCCAGAAACCAGTCCACAAGTCACTATCTGAGACTTAAGTGGTTATCCTTTCGGTTGCTACCGCGTCAAAATGTCTCAAAAGTGTTTCACAGCAATTACTGTTGTGTAATAACTACTTGTAGGTAAATGTGGCAGCCAATTTCCACACAGCAATCAATATTCCAGGTTATAATGAAACTTTTGCAGGTTTGTAAAAGTGTTGCATCTGAGCCCAGTCTGTCCTCAGCTGATGGCCACATGTGGGAGCTGGAGCCCTTGCTGCTTTTTCCTGTCCCTAACCCCTGATCGCTGCCATCACCAGCACCTCATCTCAATGGAAATCACTCCCAATGCCGCCCACGCAGAAGTTTAAAAACAAATCTATAGTTCCCTGGAGATTTTGCCAGTCAAGGCTGGCGTTTTGATGAAGTGCATGTCAATTGTTCTTACTCCTAAGCACAAAAACTGCCATTAACTAAGTAACTGATCCAAAAAAACCTCAGCACTGCACCTCACTGTAGTCCTCGTCAGCTCTCTGACCCTAACTATCGAGTTGAATACGTGTTGCACTCGGTAACTGTGTTTGGTTCAGGTGTCTCAAGCTGCTGATGGTCTGTTCTGTCGCTGTGCTAAAGTCTCATTTTCACTTGTCCATAGGTGTGAACATGGTTAGTCCTTGATGAAGAGCAAGACAAGCCAGCTGTGGTTCAACACACCCATGTTGAGGTACAGAACTGCAGTTGTGTGAACCTGTGGCCCCTACACAGTGGGGTAAAGTGAAGGGCTGCTTAGCAGTTCTGGGAGCCAGTATATTGTGGGGAGGTAAATAGGAAGTGTCTTGTGAGTGACTGAGGTTGGTAAATACTTATCCAAGCCAGGGTTTAACTGCATTGCTGTGAGTTCCTTTCACAATCATCCCTGATATGGCACTTTATAACATGATCAATGTCTTCATAGGATATACTGTGAAGTGATGTGGCTGTGTGTGCTCTGGATGAAAGCGGCAGCTATTTTGCACATAGTATAATCCCCCAAACAACCATGGAGTGAGTGACCGTGTTGCAATGATGATGTTGAATTTCTTCAACTGAAGCTTAAAGTGTGGAACAAACAATCCGAGTAACACTCGGAAGCCACACAGCAGCCTGGGCTGACTGGTCAGCTGGATATCTGACATGTGGAACCCCCCACCCCGCAGTCCTCAGTTCAAACCCCTTCAGGTTGAAATTAAAGACTAAATTAATAAAAGCCACATTAACTGTGATAACATTTAAAATACATTTTTAAAAATAATATTTCAAGACTACATTCAATAGCCTGAGGTCAATTATATACACCTGCGCCATCGGGGGGTACCAGTAACTCAAGACAACAACAACAACAAAATTACATTTATGGAGCGCCCTTCACATTGGGAGGATGTCCTAAAGCGCTGAACAGTTAGGTGTCGGGGCCCGAGCATGGGGGAGGGGTGGTGTAGGGGTGAGGGAAGGCAGAGAGGTGGGAGGGAGACCAAAGGCACAGTTGAAGAGAAGGGTCTTGAGATCGGCCTTGAAGGAGGCAAGGGAGGAAGTGAGGCGAAGGGACTGTGGGATAGAGTTCCAGAGTGTGGGGGCAGAGAGGCTGAAAGCCAGGCCACCGTGTTTAATTACCAACTGAAACATAAAGGCCTAACCATAAATCACTGCTCTGCTTTCCCTGCTGTTATAAATAAAATTCTACATTAAAATGACAACTTATTCTTCACCTGGTGTGAGACTGAGTGTTGTGTTGTTGAGTGAACAGAGCTGTCATTGGCACCGCTTTGCAGCTCATAACAATATTGCCTCAGACTGACCTGCTCCGATTAGGATCAGGAGGTATCCAAGCAGCTCACTGCAGTATTGATGGATGGCAACTGCCCTGGGAGCTGCTGCGTGGATTGGGTTTATATTGTCAACATTTAAATTGAATAAACTTGGCCTGCGTTGCAACCACCATTGATAAGCTTAACCTAAACCCCTCTGGCTCTGTTTAAACAGAGCAGCTTCACAACGGCTGAATTCCCCACAGTGTACCAATACAAGTCTAGCAGGAATGGGTTTATTTCAATAATTGCAGCTATCAATCACACTGGTATAACATGGTTCTTGAATCTTGAGAAATTCTCTCCACTGATGCAAGGTCACCTCTGCTCTGTGAATCTGGCGATGCAATCACTGAGTGCAGCTCTAGACAGGTATTCTCTGTATAAACTTTCGGAACCACAGGTAGGAGGTGGTTGCACAAAGCCCGTACCTGGGAAATGATAAATTAATGGAAGAATCACATCGAGTTCAATTCTAGCAGCTGATGAGTGGCAACAGCCAGTGTAATGAACTCACCAGGTTATGACATACTGCATGTGTTCATTTCTTAACGTCACTCGAGTCTGGCCGCCAATCGGGCCTCCAGGGACTGTACTGCCTGCGAGAAAGAGCACAAGAGCTGGTTCAAAGGGAATACTAGAATTTGCTCAAGAACAAAGATGAGTTTGAACATGTTTACCATGTACAGGGTGTCCACACGTTCCTGTTACTCCCCCTTCTGACAATTTTTATTTTCTGCTGCAGATGAGTCGAGTGTAACAATGTCTGATACCAGTAACTTCCTCGTCACTCACTCCATCCGTGTTACGGAAGATGTGGCACCGAACATGGTGATGGATCATTATCTTCCATGAAAATGACGGCGCTCACACTCACACACACTGATCCTCTGGATGTCTAAATAGTGAAACTCTTTTACTGAATACAATTAAATACTTCTAAATACAATTATCATTCTTCCACATGTTTCAGTTGTTGATCAGCGCACTGTAGAAAAACATGTGGGGGGTTGGTAACAGGACTTTGTGAACACCCTGTAGAATGCAAATGGGTCTGAGCTGCCATGTGCAGGTTTGTTCTGATTGAGACCTCCTGTGCTGAAACATTGCAGGGACTGCAATAAGTGTTCCATAAAATCGTAGCAATGGTGCTGTTTGTCATGTGAGGGAGTCACTTACTGGCGTCTGCATCGATCAGGATTGGTTCAGTCCCTGCTACCCGGGCCATGGCCTCCAGATCCCGGTAATGCCAATGGTTATTCTCAGGGTTGTTCTGGGGAACAAAAGGTTTGCGTGTCTCAGACAGACGCACCACGCCAACCAGTTCCACCTCCTCAGTGATCTGAGGAGAGAGATAGAGAAGAGTCTGTCTTCAGAGGGGCAGCCCACCAGAGCATGTACTGTGCAATCAATACAGAAACTGCCTTTCGCCTCACTATGTCAGTCAAATAACACTGGGAATGTGCTTTTCACTCCCTCTACACTGTCCTATCAACGCAGCTTGACCACAGTATAGGTTATATAGTGAGTAAGGCTACCTCGACACCGTCCATCCGTCATCAACAGCACAGGATAAATACAGAGCAACACTGCACTGGATGTTTAATTGAGAGGACAGAGCAGAAAGATTTATTCTATACATCTAGTTATAATTTATAAAATCTGCTTGCCATCCCTTTAAAATGGCTCAAAACACAAACATACTTTGCATTACTTGTCCAGCCCCACACTGCCAGGAATCGCTCTTAGCAAAGAAAAGCCCTTTAAAGGCTTGGGGTTCAAACCCAGTCTCACTTCCGCTCACCTGTCCCTGCAATCGGGTTTCAGGGTGCATCTTTCTCTTTGGTACAAAGCCACGGTTCACGAGAATTCGTACCCTAAACCCAGAAAAAAAAAAGCATTTTAGAGGCAAAACCAAGGTGGTGAAAAAAGGAGCTTGATGTTTCAACTTTAATCACAATGTCACTCAAATTTCTCTTAAATACAGTAAATATACCCAAGATGTGGGCAGGAAGATAGTGGCAATGCTCACACATTTCACGCTGGGCTGAGATGCTCACCATCCAGAATGCTTGGAGGGAATTTCTGTTACCAGCCATCCACCAAGTAAGACTTCAACCTGCACTTGTTGGATGTCAAATGACCAAATAATAATCTCCGGAATTAGATAAGCAGGCTACGTCCCTTGGGGAGATTGCATGTTCCTTTCTAGACACAGGAACATTTTTATTGTCAGTGGCATTTCATATGTTGAAATTTGTCTGGTTAGGATATTTTTGGGCATGGTGATGAGTTCCCGCATGTGTCAGGCACCCAGTTGAGCAAAACAAAACATTTTGCGGCCAACGTATATGGGAGAGGATTAAAGGCTAACCACAAAAGTACATTCATTCAGTTGGTGAAGGGAGTGGAACTAGGCCATGCAAACTCGATTCTGGATTCAGTGTGTATGTTGGGACAGGAATAGAGGCTGAGAGCATCCATCACAGCCAGTGGGGTGGGCAGGGCCTGGCTGCTGGTGGGGGTGGGGGGGGGGGGGGTTTAGGTGGGGTCCGGCTGGTTTCCCACTTACCCCAGATCTGTGCAGTGGAAAGGGGTCACAACATTGGCCCCGCTCCCCCCGCTGGAGGTCAGCCTCCCCGCTTCTCTGGCCTCTTTCTCTGGATCGACGCGTGACCGGGGCAGGATGTACAGCTCCTTGGAATGATCGAAGGTTCCCCGCACTGTGACCCGCCGGTACTCCAGCTCCTTCAGCTCCGCTTGCCTGCGTTACCATGGAAATGGACATGTCAAATAGCTCCCAGAACTGAGGTTCAAGATTAAAATGAAAGAGTCTCAAATGGTCTTCAAGTTTAACAGCAAACTCTGGCTAAAGAGCAGGAGGTGTACTCGGCTCCCAGGCTCTGTAACCTGTCACTCGGGACCTGCACCAAGTCACTCGGCTCCCAGGCTGTATCGTTCCTGTCCGACAACCGGCCACAAGATGGCTGCAGGATGTTCTTGTTTCCTCTTGGATCTGTGATCTGACTGCCCCTCGCTCTCAGTGGGACTGCATGTTACTGTCTCCCTGTCCTTAACACCCACACACATCTTTTAAACTAGCTTCTGAGTAAATGTGGCAGCTCTGCGCTCAGCACAACCTACTCCAGGGGCAGCGGCAGGGGCTCAGTGTTGCACCTCTCTTGCAGCTCTGCGATAAGCTGCAGTTTCCATTTCCTCCGTTGCACCTAAAACAAAACACATAAGGAGCATCAGATACCCCTGTCCAGCACTGCTTATAAAGCATCAACCTCTCCCATCCCCACTGCCACACAGCCCCAATACAGCATCGACTCCCTGCCCCGAAAACCAGCTTCAGCCCCAATGCTGCATCAATCTCTTCCCCCCACCCCCAACTATACAGCATCAATTCCAACTCCAAACAGCTTCCGTTCCCAGGCACCACCTATACAACCTCAATCATCCCCAGCCAGTCTCCCGTACAGCATTAATTCCCTCTCCTCCCCCAAAAGGCCCAACCTCCTGCTACAGCCTAGACGCAGTTAAGCGGGGTTCTGGAGGCTGAGATCAAGTGGCTGAAGGGCCTTCTTAATCCGATCCTGTCATGAGACCTTGTAAACATACCTGCCAAGTTCCGAGGCCAAATGCAGAGACTGGGATGAATAACAGTAGCCACTTCAGGAGAGAGTCTTCGCTGCCCTCTGCAGCCACCGCCGCAGAGCCACGTGTCTGCTGTACTTTCCCCAAGAGCCCTAGGGAACAGCACATGTCGGCACCATTTTAGGATCTCGTAAATACATAGGGGTCTCCTGTAACATGGAGTTCAGAGCTGTTCAGACTGTTCAACTGATAAGTCTCCCTATGTGAGCCACAATCATCACGAACCCCATGGGCTTGTGTCTGAAAGGTGTCCTGAAGATCAGGACACATATACACTGATGGTGTCAGTTGGCTCAACAACTTATTTATATAGCACCCTACACGCGGGGCAGCATCTCTATGCGCTTGAATTCCAGGGGTCAGAAAGCTGCAGATCACAGTCCAGACAGACCCTCAAGAGACTTTAAATCAAGGTCCTCTCTTTCTGTTCAGGTTGATATTAATATCTTATTGGAAAAGAGATGGGAGTTTCTCCTCCTGTCCTGATCAACAATCCTCCAATAACTGATCAATCACCTATTGGTTATTGCTGTGCTTTGCATAAATTGTACATAAAAGATATACATATGATTAATCAACATCTTATTAATTTAATAGTATTTCATTGCAATATTAATAAAACTAATAACATTATTGGTACTCTAATGAAGGATGTGAATAAAGGAAACAATCTTGAATTTAAATGGAAAAATAATGACTTGGGACTGTGTACATATTTGATTTGTGTAAGGAGCTTCTGCTAAATCTCCCAGTTACACTTCTCTCTGTGGTGCAGGCTATTGCTGCAAACAGCGACACTTTTATTCATTGGCACTCGTGGTTACAGAGGCTGCAACATCAAATAGATTTGTTCAAAAGGGAACTAGATAAACCTGAGCAATAAAATCAAGCATATAGGTGGAGAGATGGAAAGTGGGATTAGTAAAACCAAAGGACGATTTAGATAAAACAGACAGTCGTGTTGTCTGTTATCCACCCTCTTGTGCAGAACATTTCTAATTTCTCACCGTTACACTTCTTTGGGAGAAAGACGTTAAGCTGCCGTCCAATGACGATGCGGTGACAAAGACACAGTCTCTGGAAGAAAGAAACAGGAAAGAGGAGATGAAGGTCAGTTAGGATGGATAATGCCCTGACTGTTGGCTCACTCGGCTCCTGCTAACCCTGCAAGCCAATGCCCTAATGGGTATGGTAGTCTTAGCTGAACAAGCAGCGGGAAAGCATGCGAGACAGCTATATCAATGGCACGCTATGCTGTTTTAGCTGGTTAGACTCCAGCAGTTACCCCAACGCACACTCTGGGATCTCCAAACATTGGCTCTTGCCAACCTGGACCTAATAGTTTCCGCAATTAGCTGAGCCGAATCTGTCCCTCCAAGGAGAGAGTGCGCATTTCCAGTCCCACGTGGGATAACGTGGAATTTTCACCTTGATTTGGAGACTCTTAAGCACGGTGATGGGTTTCCGCGCGTGTCGGACAGCCCCGCTGATCCCCCCACCAAACAACACACAGCCTGCTCTGCTCCGTCGGTTTATTGTAATTGTAATAACAATCCCTGCCTTTCGGGTCAGGAAGACGTCTCAAAAGCGTGTCACGGGATTTACTGTGAAGTGTAGTGACTGTGCGTTCCGTGGTTGAACCCGGCGGCCCGCGAGCGCACAGCAATGTCTGACAAACAGCTACGAAGCGATTGACCAATTTTATTCGGAGGATTGTCAGCCCCCACTGGAGAGAGAAACTGCCTCCTCTTTTCAGTGTGGTGGTGGGGGGGGAGGGCCTGACCCGATGGGATGGTGGATTTAATGACTAATTAAACTTTAACCCCCTTTTCTTTCCTTTATTGAAGCCCCGTCGCTTTACTCGGCTGTTACTCACTCGGGCTCCGGTGAGCAGCTTTAAGCTCGAAGCGCTTAACATTTCCGAGCAACACTTTTTTTGAGGCCTCTTATTTACGTCGGTGCCCCTCTCCTCCCGGCGGACAGGAAACAAGGCAACACCTTCCGGTGCTCCAGCAACATCCGGACCCGTAGCGCGGCGGCCATCTTTGTAAAGGTGCCTATTGCCCAGAGCTGGGGGGGGGGGCAGTGAAACTACACTGAACCACGGCGGCCATCTTTGTAAAGGTGCCTGTGCCCAGAGCCGGAGGGGTGGGGCAGTGAAACTTTACACTGAACCACGGCGGCCATCTTTGTAAAGGTGCCTGTGCCCAGAGCCATACACTAGTGCTCAACCCCCAGCTGCTGTATGACACATTCATTTTCTCTGTGATTTTGAGTAGTTAGCTTTCTCCACATCTCCGTAAACGAAGGGGCCTGAGCCATTATCGAAAATCACAACGCTGATCTTCCAATCCGAAATTCTGACGAAGGGTCGTGGACCCAAAACGTTGACTCACTTTCCTATCGCCATAGATGCTATGCTGCTTGACCTGCTGAGTGTTCCCAGCAACTTCATTTTTTGTTTCCAAACCATTTTGTTCTGATGGTATCAATAATCCTCCTTTGGGCATAGGTAAGCGGGGCCTCCTTGCAGCTGAGCTGGCTCCAAGGTGAAGTGTTTCACAACAGAATTTTGGAATCCAATCAACCCTCTGTGGCCGTCTTGTTTCTCTTGAGCCAGGCGGGTCTGTACAAAGGCAAGGGGGAGACCAGTAACTGGGAGTACGAATAACAGTACAATGTTTGCAATGTGTTTTTAGTTGCTTAAATGCCAGCAGTTACTCCAACATACCCTCTGGGGCCCTCAAGCTTTGGCTTTCACCAACTTCCCCAGAAATTGGTAAACAGGGTGAGCCCCTTCAGGAAAAGTGCATGTTTTATTACAGGAGAATTTCCACGTGTAGGTGACATACACATCTGGAACTCTTTTGGATACTTTTAAGCATGGCGATGGGTTTCTGCATGTGTTAAATTGGCTGACCAATTTTTTTTATTAACTAACCTTACATTTGATATAGTGCCTCAAATTGTCTCAAAACACACCATGGGGTTTGCAAAGCAACTTTTCAGGTGATGTACGGTTCAAATGGTCAACCCTGGATCGGTAATTGAAACTCAATACACAACCTGCGACACAAATGCAGGAACATACAGAATGTTAGAGATACATGTGTAGGCAGGTGTACGTTGCACAAGCATGTTGGTGTTTAGATATGGGAGTGAGCAGAGTTTAAAATCAACAATATATTCTGGAGTGAGACGTGGCCATGTCCTGATGGTTGGGGATATTTTGAGAACTCTGTGGTTCAGTGTGTCAGTGGCTTAACTTTGAATGATAGTGTGAGCTTATGTATGTGTGAACATATTTGTAAGTAAGTTTGTAAGTTCATGCGTTCACGTATTATGACTGTTGTACCAAATAGTACATTACACTTTTACCATAACAGAAAACATTGAATTACAGAAAATTGTGCAGGATGGAAATAGGTCATTTAGCCCAACCAGTTCACTCTGATATTTATACTCCACGAGTTTCCATCCCTCCATTTCCTTCTCCCTCATTTATACACCAGCATTCCTCTTAAATACGTTGATGCTGTTGCTCCCACCAGTTATGGCAGTGAGTTCCTCATTAACACCACCTCAGCATAATGAAGTTCCGCCTAAACTGCCTTTCAGATTGGCTTCTCACCATCACATATTTATGTTCCCTAGTTTTGGACTCACCAAGTGAAAAACAGCCTATTAATATCCTTCTATTGAATCATTTCATAATCTTGAACACCTCTATCAGGTCACCTCTCAATCAGCTCATCTCCAGAGACAGAAGTTCCAATCTGTCCAATGTTTCTTGATAGCTGTATCCACTCATCCCTGGTTACATCCTTGTAAATTTACACTGCATTCTGCAATGCTAAAGTAACCTTGCAGATATACAAAAGAGTTTTGCAAGTATGGCAAGGAACTTAGTTGATAATTAGCATGTAGGCTGTCATTCAGTTTAATAAAATTCATCAAAGAGCAGTGAGTGTGAAGGTAAGATTGAATCTGACAATTAGAAGATACAACATTTTTTATTCAATATTTAAAATTTCCTAGATAAAAAAAAGGAGAATTCGGTTGAACAGGATTGCATTACTTTTGTAGATGTTCTAAAAATGCACATAAAGTTATTATGGAAAGTGTAGCAAGCAAATTAGGATTTTAAACTGTAAAATGCTTAATTTTCTCACACATATATATCATTATACATAGCACTTCTATCAACCCAGTTCTTATTGGAAGCTCTTTAAATCATTTTCTAATGTCACACTCACCCAAACCCCAAGACACCTAGTGACAATTCACTTCATCTTGGGAGTATTTGGCTGATAAATATACTGTGACTAATATGAAAAGCTATTTATAAATTGTACACCATATTTATACAACTACATTATTAAAGTAATATTTTCTTTTTTCATATTCAACCTTGAATCTAAACATGTCAAAATAAAACAATATTCTTTATTGGACATTTTTGTGCTGATTCTACGATCTTATTTACGATTTTCGGTGATGTTAGTGGAGGGCATGGAGCAAGAAGCAGAGTGTAATGGAGCATGTGGTAAAGACTAGAAAGAATTCTTCATATCTATTACAGGACCCATAGGCTCATTATTAATGCCCGAGATCTGATAAGAGTGGGTGTAACTCAGCACCATGAATGTTAGCAATGGATTGTTCCTACACACAGGAAACTGCCTCTGCAGTATGTTTGTGTAGAGAAGCCATACACAGTACAAGGTTTATCTTGGTGGCCTACTGGCCACCTGCTCAAAGAGCAAAGTCAAACTACACAGCAGGGCTTGGGACAAAAGCTAAGAGTGAAGCAGAAAGGGAGGTCTGAAAATGGAAAATCTATTTCAGGAACCCATAGTAATGCAAAATATAAAACCAAGGTAGTGATGGTCCTCAAAAAAACATGAAATCACAATGTCAGCAGTTCCATCTTCCCTCCTGCGATGTGTAATATTTGCACGGTGCTTACAGTGGGACTAATCGTTTTCTTTTCACTGAACATTTTGATCAGAATGAACTGCACTTTAAAACCACATTTAGAAGGGCATTAGATTACCTCTCTGTAAAGCCGACATTTAATAGACCTTTTATACATTTTTGGGGAAACCATTTTTCCTCATTTGTGCAATGTTGTTAACACACATACTACATGTGAAGTCTTAATGTGGTAAGCGAACACAATGAAGCCGAGAGGGAAGAAGCCTGTGGCTTTGCTCATGTGCAACTTGAGCACATCTTTCTTTTAAAATAAAATATTGTGTTCAGTGCAAACTCAGTTACCATTACAATTTGAAATGAAAATCAGATTAAGATGAATTAAACAAACATTAAAAAGTATTTTACAGTCTGCTTTTGCATGACTTTCATTATGTTGCCTGATCTGGTGGTGTGCAGATTAACACTCCTGTGTTGCACAGGTACTCAATATGTGTGTTGAGAGGCACTCAACAGTCTCCCCACCATGCTGGAGCCCTGTGCAGACTGTACAAAGGACAACGAACACTGCAAACCCAGTCTGCTCTTTATTAGATAAATGCCATCAAGATGTGGAATTATATAACTTAAATAATTTTCACAAATTTGTTAAAAAGTATATGTAACAACAGTGACATCAATATACTCCTCGGGCAAAAACGGAAGAGCATTTCAAACTACAGTTTTCCCCCACCAGAAAAGTAGAAAAATGTCAAGTACATCAGAACAAAAAAAGACAAGAACAAATGATTTGGAGAACGAGTGTTTGCTGAGCTGAGAAGAATATGGAATATGGCATAATGTAGCGTGTTGGCTCAGTTATGAGCCACCAGCTAATGCTGTTGAGCCATGATAACAATGCAACATTACCTTGCTTCCAATACAGATGGACCCAGACATACGCAAACATTGCAGCAAAAGAGCAAAGGTGAAGATTAATCAGTCCACAGCATACAATTGAAGGGAAGAACTGCAGCCCAAGCAAATTATACCCTGCTTTGGATTTCTCATTAGAGTTGAAAAGAATGCCGCAGAAAAAGTTTCACAAAAAAAAGAAAACCCTCATTAAAATCAATACCATCCGTACTCTTAGAGTATGAAGAGTCTGTACAGGTTTCACATTTCAATATAAAATATGCAGAAAAGGCAGAATTGTTTCCAGTGCATCTTTGCCTATGTATGTTCTGCTGACAAGCATGCTACTTGTTTTGAACCTTCAGTACCACAGAGCTCTGTACTCTTCAGTTAACGATCTGCTTAGAATGTACACACGATAGAGAACTATTATAAAATACACTGCTGAGTGGAACTGGAGTACACAAGGGAGCTTGGTGACACAGTAATTCAGCACATTCCCACTCACATCTAGAACATGGCTTCAATTCCAATCTATATCGATGAGTTGAAAGTCACTGGCTATAGGGACTAACTGAAATGTATTAGTGCCCATAATGTGGCACAAACAGGAATTAAACTACTGATTTCATTCAGAGGCCACACAACTGTGTGGAAATGGAATGACAAACTGGTGCAGTAGTAGACCCTCTTCTGAGGTTCAGGGTTAAGGCACATTGTTGGGGCAATGTAGAGAGCTTTGCTCTGCATCTAACCCATGCTGTACCTGATCTGGGAGTGCTTAATGGGACAGTGCAGAGGGAGCTTTACTCTCCATCTAACTGGCACTGTAACTGAGCTGGACATGCTGACTCGATGAGGATTGCAGAAGAAGTAGCCTTAAAAATAATTTCACTTTTCAGTAATGACACTGGCTACCTATGTAAGCACAAAGATGATCCAAAATTGTAAACACACTCCTGCATCTTAATCGATCCTAATGTGAAATGAACTTGGCAAAACTACAAGTCCAGTCACATAAACCCATTAACCTCCCAGGTCACAAGCCACTGGATTCAAATTTGAATGCCACCTTTACATCTCCTTGTTAAAGCACGAGACGTACACAATAAGAGTTTGAAAACAAAATTCACCATCAGGTATATATTGCAAAAGATAATGGATGCGTGAGTTTAATTTATTGCAATCAAGAGGTTCAGAGGCTGTGAGGCTAATTCATCTCAAAATTTAAGGTGCACAGAATTGTGGAAAATTCAGTCTATAAATTTGAAACTTGATTTTCCACAGTTCTCAAAAAGAATTAGCTTGCAAAGTGTAGCTGAACTGAAGAATTCTCCACAATTCTGCAAAATTGATCAAGTCAAAATGGTCTCACAAGCTAAGGGTAGGCGGAATTTCAGGCCTTAATTGGGCTAATTCCCTCAATTGCTTTTTTTGCCTTGCGATCCATTTAAAGGTCTCCACTCTTTTGCTTGTAATGGGTAGCTGAACCATACTGACTGCCTTGAGTGTTCATAAATATTAGTGGAAAGTTACTATACAATATTGTACTTACACCTCAGAACCTGCTCTCTCCACTACTGATCTGCCAAAACCTCCCGTATCTTCACCTGATTCAATATTAGTTTCATCAAAAAAGTCTTCTTGACTTTTGGCTTCACCTTTCTCCTGTGTTCTATCAGCCCCAATCTTTTCTTCCTGTGTGCTGTTCCCTGACGAGGCTAAACTTACTGCACAGATCTGAAGTACTGACAGTGCCGTATAATTCTGTTTATTCATATACTGACTAGTGACCTTGCCTTGGTAAGCTCCTTCAGATATTCTCTTGGTTTCTAAACAGGGTTGTGCACATAAACTTCCTTCCTCTGGACCTACACTGTGAACCCCTTTTTCTATCCCATCACATTCCTTGTGAACTGGGAGTTCTGTTTGGTTAGTAACCGAGGTGTGACTCAGTGGTCTAAGATTGGCACTGTCTAATGTCTGTTGTAGTCCTTGCATCAAACTGTCTGAGTGTCCTTCACTAACGTGCTGCTCCATGTTGCTTTCTTTCAACCTGATTGTGTATTTCTCTTCACCTTGATAATTGTGGTCACTCTGCTCCTGCCTCTCAAACCAAGATGAGCCTTTTGCTGTTATGCAATCAGCATGGGGACTCCGTAAAATCAGATTTCCAATAGGCTGAGAAATGCCACTCGCATCCTTGTCTGAAACTCCGTTTGCTTCACATTTAGTGCTACCATCAGCGTCCCAGACAGCACTGAACTCAGTGTGAGGGGAAGAACTAGGGCTTTGGTCTGGCTCAGACTTGATGATGCTTCCAGAGTACTCAGCCAAGCCGCAGTCTACCTCCATCGTCTCTTCATGAGGTTTCATCTTAAAAGTCGTCGGTAATTTAAATTTACTGGCAGTTTCTTCAGAAGATACAACCTTGATTGTGTTCTGCTGCTGCTCTCTTTTGTTCTCTAAACTTAGGTCTCGTTGTTCAAGTGTTGAAAATCTGTCAGACATTGTTTCCAAATGAAGCACTGAATGATTTATCTGAAATTTCTGTATTCTACAGCCTTCTGGAGGGTTACTAGCCCATCTGTATCCAGCAGGATTATTGTCTTGCCCAGAGCAGGAACTTCTGGGATCTCTCTCTTGACTGTTTGTGCCAGTAATTTGCAAATGCTTTTTGACTATCTCAGTCTTAATTTCTATTCTGGAGACTGCTGGAGACTCTTTAATATCCTTTGTGTGCTTAGTTTGGTGCGGTGTACTTTTACTGCCAAATGAAACCTGCCCAATATCGGCAATGTCGTCTTCTTTAGAGTCAACAAACCCTTGTGTACCCTGAGACCAATTCCCACTAACAGTTCTCTCCACATTATATGGTCCCACATTATATTGACCACTGTGAAACCCTTCGATCTGGTGAGAAGTGCAAGTCTTCTCTATGTCCTGCATTGGTAGTTTTGGTAAGACCTCTTCCTTTACAGACCATTTACTGTTTTCTCCCTGTACTTGTGAACTCTGCAATGAATTGGTCTTGAGCTCATCTTTCCGACGCTCTTCCATCTCCTGAGTGCTCACTTTTGCCTTTTCTGCTAAGAACCGCAGAATTTCTTGTTCAATACCGTCATCACTGTCCACAGAACTGCTGTCATCCACTACCACACCACCCCCAGTAGGCTTCTCGGTCACAACTTTTTGAAGAGCATATGAAGAACCAACATTTGATTTTCCAATTCTTTCCTTTCCCAATGGTGTGGAGACCTTACGATTATTTTCACTTCTGAGATGGACCGCTGCTTTCTTAGTTCCCTTATTCTTCATTTCTAAATAACTTTTAGGGGCTGACTTGCTACTTTTCGACAAACAACTTTTCAAAGGGCCATGACTGCTAATAAGACCTTCTCCCTGATGGAGCTGGCCACTGGTTTTGAACATTCCATCAATAGTACTTGTACTTTGTTGGGAGTAGGTGCGCACTTCAGCTCCTGTAAATCGGACTTTTTTCTTGCAGCGACTTTTTGTATCCTTTAATCTTTTTCCCAGTTTCTTCCTGGTTTTTAACAGATCCATTGTGGCAGTATCAAGGTCTTCATCACTATCTATTGAACTACTCTTCTCATCTGTCTGCCAAGAGTCGCTTTGTTTTGATTCACCATCATAATTTGTAACTTTATAGGTTATAGCCATTTTATCAACAAGCACATCAGGGGTTTTACTAGACTCTTTTACTTGGCTCTTGTTTAGCTCCTCTTCACTCCGTTTATTAACAGTGACAATGCTATACTTAAGTGTTCTTTTATGGAGCAACGAAAATTGTGATAGTTCAGATACAGATGCAGATGACAAAGATGAAGACCCATTCAGACTGTCTTCTTTCTTCAGTGCTGGGGATAAACTGCAATGCTGTTCATCCATAGGACTGAATGCATTTGTTTTCTGACTAGTTAGGTTTGCTTTGAATGCTAAGTAATTCTGAATTTCTTTCTCAACACTGTCACTGCTGTCCACAGAACTCTCTGAGGAAGAAAACATGTTAGCCCCAAAGCATTGGATGAATGCCTTGCTGCTGCTTTTGTGGTGCTCCTTTTTCAATGACAATGGATTATTTGCAAAATGCATACTGGTAGCTGAATGGGCTTGGGAGATTAAGGTTCTTTCCCGTGGTGAGGAAAACTGTGATTCAGTTTGAATAATTTTTTTCTGTCTAAGCTCCGAGTCCATATTTGTAATCTCGATCTGCGTTGCAACCTCATCACTGGATTGATCGGTTGAGTCACTATCTGAAAGGTTGCTAGAATAGGACATTTTAAACTCTCCAGATTTGGAAGTGTAGAGTTTTTCTTTTTTCTTTATAGGCATCTGCAGTTTTTCCTTCTCTGGACTCTTCATTCTACAAGGGGACACAGGATCAGCACTTTTCTGAGCATTTGGAGTTTTCGGAGATAATAAACCAAGTACATCCTCCGCTTTCCCTTTCTTCTGCTCTAACTGGTAGAGTTGAATGGCTTCTTCAATGCCATCATCACTGCTAGAATCAGAGAGCTCAGCAACTGCAATAATGGGCTTGGGCTTCAGATCAGAGTATTCGCTTTTGATGGTCTGCTTGTCATCACAACTACTTTCATTTGAATTCTTACAGGAATGGGCTCCAATTGGTTTCTTCAAATTGTTAACACTCCCTTGATTTCCCTCCCCGACTTTCTTCTGCCATGAGATGGTATCAGCTTCCAATGAATGAGTCAATTTGTTATCGTCAACTTTGATGGTTTCCTTTTCCCGCTTGTCTTGCAAGAACCTTTCGATCTCAGCTTGTATACTAAGTTCAAAAGAATCATTACTGCTGACACTGGATGATGGAGAGGAGCACCTGGATGATACAGCAGCATCCAAATCAACCTCATGTGACTCGGTATTTCCAAAACTATGCTCCAGTTTAACAGAAGATACCTCTTCTGTAGGTGTGATCCCATCACCGGAGTGTGGAATGGAGTCTTTATTGTCAGGATGCGTACCTAAAGCAGTTTTTGTTTCATTAGCAGCCTTTGATATTAAGTGGTTATCTTCGGTTTTCTTTTTCAAATATTCCTGAATTGCTTCTTCTATGTCCCTGTCAATGGACTCATCACTGTCTGAGTCTAGGATGTAATGGCCCAAACTGGACCCTTCTGCACCAAGTGAGTAGGAAGGGAACCCAGATTTCACATCTTCCACAGCTGTCCCTTTTAAGACTTTTATGGCGACATCATCCAATGTACCCTCACTCCGTCGTTTTCCTGCTGCGTTTGTCTGCACACCATCGCTACGTTCATGGTTCATGGCACGAGGCGAATCATCGGGCTTCAGATTTTCTATAATCATCTGCACATTCACATTGACGGCACTGCTTATACTAGAGAACTCCTCTTCAGACTCTGAGAAGCTCACTGGAAAACTGAAGCTCCGCGGTGGTCCAAAGGGCTGCCAATCCTTCTGTACTGTAGAAACAGGTGCCAAGAACATTATAGCGGGCAAGGTAGAAGCCTGGACATGTGACCCGTGGACTCCTGCACTCACATCCTGCAAAAGCAGAATAGAAACAGGGAGGTTACTCCAGATGTCAGTTAAATAAACAGACTTTGCATTAGCATTTTCAAGATTCATTACATTTACCAAAACACTCCTTCATTCCTTCCCAAATTTTGAAGCAACATCTCAGAGTGCTTTACAGAAAGGGTGGTGGACAACATTCTGGAGAATGGGGAGGAAGAAGTTGACCCTAGAGCATGTATAAGAAGAAAACAGGTGTCTGATGCTATTTACCAGAGGAATGGCTAGGATGGTAGATGGTTCTGGATTTGGGGAGTGGAGGAGGGTATTGAAGGCAGAGGAGAGGCCGTGACATCAAGTTAACTGTGGGTGGAGGGCCAAAGGGAGAGGTCAGAGGACAAGAGGGCTTTTGAGAGGAACTGAGATGATCCAACATCCAATCTGGCATCCACACACACTTATAAAAATAATAATCTTTGCATTTGACAGCACCTGTAACATCAAAAAGCTCTTTAAAGCCAATTGCTCTCAAGCATAATGACTGCATTTATGGGAAATATAATAATCCTTGATTTAGCACCTTATCATGTTGTCAAGACATCTCAAAGCGCTTCACAGGATATTCTGTAAAAGTAGTTTTTGACCGTATTGTATATTGTGGGTGAAATGGGGCAGCCAGTTGCGCACAGCAATGTCCCACAAACAGCCACGAAGTGAGTGACCAATTGTATTTAGGGGATTGTTGGCCAGGACACTAGGAGAAACTCACTTCTCTTTTCTAATAGTGTCATAGGATCTTTAACGTTCTCCTGAACAGGTAGAGGGGACCTCGGTTTAAAATCTTATCCAAAGTACAGCACCTTCAACAATACAATTGTCCCCGCACAGCATTGGAGTATCAGCTTTGACTATGTGCATCCAAGTCTTTGACTCAGAAGCGAGATTGCTACCATTGAGCCAAGCTGACACTATGGCTACATAGTAGTAATTAGCGCACAGCAATGTCTTTCAAACAGCCATGAATAGTTTATATGAAATGTTCCGATTATTTTAAAGTTAATAAAATAACACTGTCTGGTTGCCCCATGTCGGTAACTGCCAGGAAGATGTCACATTGGACCCTGCTCTGTGCTGTAAAATCATTCAGGGAACAGCTCAGTGCTGTAATGGGAGTGTCGGGAGGATATTCTGAAAAGATGAGCTCCAACGGGCAGAAGGGGCTTTTCATCCCAATTTTTTTTTGCTCTCTGATCTTTACAATATATCACGTGAAGCGCTTTGAGATGTCTCAGCGAGGCGATAAGGCTCGCTCAGCTGGACTTCAAAGATCCCATGGCTGGATTCGAAAAGAGAAGGGAATTTCTCCCGCTGTCCTGGCAAACAATTCCCCAGATCAAACTGGTCGCTCGCTCACACGGCTGTTTGTGGGCTATTGCTGTGGGCAACGGCGTTGCCTGCCCTTGCCTTCAAATACACAGTCACTTCATTTCACGGTAATTTCAGTCCACACCGCTCTGAGTCGCTGCCCCAGTGTGAGGGGCGCTGAATAAATTCAAGTCAGTTGTTTAAATCTGGTGATGCATTTTGAGATGTCCTTCCGAGCTGATACGGCGCTGTACCAAATGCAATATTATTATTATTATAATTATTATTAATATGATTACTACTGAGTAATAATACTCAGGGTTCCCGCTTAATGCTCGCTATCCAGAGACCCCCGCAGGCAGGATGGGGGGGGGAGAAGGGGAAATACGGTGACCCCCCCACCCCCACCCCCCCACTCCTCCCCCTCACCCGATGACAGCCACAACACTCGACCGCCCAACCGACCCCCAAACACCAGCCAGGACCCCCCCCCCCCCCCCACAGTGCTCTCTCCCAGACCTCCATTCCACATGGAAGCTGTACCTGCCTTATCATCGCACCCGGGGGCTGCCTGTCACCCCTCCCCCCTCCCCCTCCCCTCGGGCCCCTACGCTTCACTCCCCGGGAATAGAACAGAACAGGCCGCGTGCGGCCTTCAGCACAGAGCCAGGCCTCGTCCCTCTCCCAGTGTCCGCCCGGCACCGACGCGTTTCGTCACAGACTCTATTCCTCCTCCTCTCCCCCCCCCCCCCCGCTCGCCCGCCCCCCCCCCCCCCGACCGACCTGTCCCGGAGCGGCGGCTCCAGGGCCGGGAGCAGGTGCCTGCGGTGAGGACCCCCCTCCTCTCCCCTCCCCTCACGGTGGGCCCTTCCGTCAAGTCTCACAGCTGGAACCTGAATCCGACGGGGAGGAAGGAGGTCGGACCCCGCGCGCGCGCGCCCCCCTTCCCCTTCCCCCCCTCCTCCTTCCCGTATAACCCCGTTCGCCCTCCGCCATCGTGCCGAGGCCCTGGTGCAGACCGAAGCCTCCCGGGGTTCGGCGTCGGCCCTGTCAGCTCGGTCTCGCGCGCTTCCCAACCGCCGCCGCCGCCACCTGTCTGTCTGCCCGTCCGTCTCCCCCACCTGGTCGTCGCGCGCCCGGGGCCCGGGACCAACGGTCGCGGGTGATTGACAGCTGTCACTCAGGGCGCCCCTCGCGACCCTCTCCTCACTCACTCACTCACTCACCGCAGCGGCATCCGGGCGCTGCCGTTCGGCCCTCGCGCGCTCTCTCTCTCTCTCGCGCTCTCTCTCGCGCTCTCTCTCGCTCTCTTCCCCCCCAATGCACAGTTCACCTCAGCAGCAGCAGCAGCAGGAAGGAGGCGGAGAGAAAACCGCGCAGAGACAGACAGAGAGAGAGAGAGAGGGGGAGAGACAGAAAGTCCGCCCCGGGCCAGGAGGTGAGGAGAAAATGATGGGTCACTGGTCAGGAGGGCGTTCATTCCCTCCCGCAGTGACGAGGCTTTTTGCTGCTTTGTATAAATGGGGGGGGTTTGGGGGTGTGTGGGTGGGGGGCATATCTCCCCCCCTCACCCCCCCCCCCCCCGGGGAAAAAACCCTGGGAAAACTCAGCATCTATGGAGTCGAGGAAATTGAGTTATTATTATTAATAATAATCATCATCGTCGTCGTCGTCATCACCGCGAAGCAGACTATCGACTGGCGTGTCTTGTGGGCCGAACGCGGCAGCCAATAATTGCACACAGCGATGTGCAACCCCCCCCCCACCCCACCGCACCGCGCGGCCCCCCCCCCCATCCCCCCCCGCGCCCCCACCGCACCGCGCGCCCCCCCACCCCCCCCACCCCACCGCACTGCGCGGTACCCCCCCCGCGTCCCCACCGCACCGCGCGCCCCCCCATCCCCCCCACCACACCGCGCGCCTCCCCATCCCCCCGCCACACCGCGCGCCTCCCATCCCCCCCACACACCGCGCGCCTCCCCATCCCCCGCCACACCGCGCGCCTCCCCATCCCCCCCACCCCACCGCACCGCGCGCCCCCCCCCATCCCCCCCCGCCACACCGCGCGCCTCCCCATCCCCCCCCACCCCCACCGCACCGCGCGCCCCCCCATCCCCCCCACCACACCGCGCGCCCCCCCATCCCCCCCCACCCCACCGCACCGCGCGCCTCCCGCCCCCCCACCCCACCACACCGCGCGCCCCCCATCCCCCCACCACACCGCGCGCCTCCCCATCCCCACCGCCACACCGCGCGCCCCCCCCCGCACCCCCACCACACCGCGCGCCCCCCACCCGCTCCCCCACCGCACGGCGCGCCCCCCCACCCGCTCCCCCACCGCACCGCGCCCCCCCCCCCGCGCCCCCACCGCACCGCGTGCCTCGGTGGCCTGAGCCAGCCGTACAGCGGTTTGGTGGAGGCGTGCGTCTGGCCACCGGCGAATCCTGCGAAGCGCTTTGAGACGTCCTTCCGACTCGATGAGTCGCCGTATCAAAACACAGCGATCATTATTATTAATTATTATCTCTTTTCGACATCCCGTAGGATTCCGTCTCGAGGCCGTTTCTCTGGGGCAGTCTGTTCCTCATCCTCTTGTCAAGATCTGACTTCTAACCGGTTTCAAATTTTACGATTACGTTCTCTCTTTTGGGTCCCTGCGCAGAGGGATGGATCATCCACTCTCCAGCTGGTCGATTATTTTTAAACGCTTCACATAGAACGAGACCGGGAGGAAACTCCTTCAACAAACCATCTGACAAAGCCATCTGGGGTTAGTTAGTTAGTTAGTTAGATAGTTAGTTAGTTATTTGCCCAAATATATTCTTATTTTGTTTGAACCTCATTTATAATCAGTCGTAAAAGCATAAGAGACTAAAATATTTTACCCGTGAGCAATATGCGGGAATGTGATTTTTTTAAATACAGGGTCGTTTTCGACTTTAAATGCCTTAAAAATATTACAGCAGGGTGAAGGTTTGCAGGGTGAAATTCCACCAGCTGTAAATTTCTTACCATCTGAGCAATCTGGATATTAAAATTGGTATGAATGTCCCTGTCTGCCATCTTGTTCTATGCAGTCAATAAAAGTAATAATCCTCGTCTTTCACATCAGAAGGACATCTCCAAATGTTTCAAAGGATTTCCTGTAGGGACTGTGTTATTTTGTAGGCAAATGTGATAGCCAATTTGCACACAGCGATGTCCCATAAACAGCCACTGATTTAATTAGTTATGCCATATTCTCCAAAATTGGTCATTCACATTGTGACTCTTTGCTGTGCACAAACTGGTCGACTAGATTTACGCAGTCACTACAATTATTAAGTGCTCTGATTCACTACTCGTATGAAGGGCTCTCTATAAATACAAGTTGTTCTATTATAAAGCCCTACGAGACATTTTGGATGTGATAAGGCCCTATAAAATACAAGTTGTTTCTTTCTAATGAGCCACAGAGAGTGGCAGCAGCTCTTTATTGTTTTTACAGACAACAGCAAAATCACATTTGTATAGTGCCTTTCACGTCGGGAGGACGTCCCAAGGGGCTGGACAGACAGAGTTTCGGACCCGAGCAGGGGGTCGGGACCAAGGAGGGTGGAGGGCAGTGGGGGAAGCAGGGTGATCGAAATGACGGTCAAAGAGGGTCTTGAAACGGGTCTTGAAGGAGGCGAGGGAGGGGCGAGGCGGAGGGACTGCGGGATGGAATTCCAGAGGGTGGGGGCAGAGTGGCAGAAGGTTTGCCCGCCAATAGTGGGGCGGGCGAGGCGGGGGATGTGGAGCAGGCTGGAGCACGACATGTCATGTTGTGAAATAAACAAATGGTTCACGTGTCATGTTGTGACTGCACTTTAACTTCTGGTGTCTGGTAGCCATTTGTGCACTTTACACACTGAATAATATTAACTTACATTTATACAGTGCCTTTCATTTCAAACTAGCTCGAAGTGCTTTACCACATAGCATTAATATGAAAGGAAAGTGAATGTTGTCGTACGGGCAAATGTAGCATCCAATCTGTGCCAGCAATCTCCTGTTAACTACGAGGCTCTCCCTCAACATTCTCAGATATTGCTATCAGACCCTGGCGACCTATCCACTTTGAGTTTTATCAGTTGTTTCAGTTTGTTTTCTGTAGTTTTTTTTTCTAAT